AACAAAGATGAGGAATTTTGGATTATGTGGATGTAAAATTATGTGGGATTATATTTACTTGTAGTTAAGTGACTTTAATGCCTGATATTTTCTAATTTTGCCACACCTTGAAGTACACTTTTGTACAATTTGGAATGAGCACCTGATATCACAAATATTGATGTTGTTTCATATTGGAATGATCTATTGAATTGCTGGTCCATAGAGAATTGTCATTCATCATTGTTGTAAGGTCAGTGACTTTCTGATTTACCATAGTCCTTAATGCTTTCTTCAAGAGAGCAGAAACTGTAGACGCCATTAATGCTTGTGGTCTACTGTATAACATGTATTAAATCCGGGTGCTTTATTTTCCGAATTGGATTAAAATTGTTATTGCCGAATAAAAGTTTGCCGACCTGACATCCCTAAATGTAAAGCCAAATAAAATATTGCTAAGCTGACACCTCTAATATAATTTTGTTTACAACTGAATTTTAATCACCTTCATTTTACTGACTCAGAAAACCTGACATCCTGACATTATGAGTGACAATTTGAGTGATTACCCGCATTTGGTAGACTCAGGACAATTAATAACAGGATTAAAAACCTTTAATATTGGGATTAAAAACTTTTAATACTGGGATTTCCAAAGCACTTAGATCACACCCGGTGATCGTGAAAATGGGACGGAGGGGGGGAGCAGGCAATTTCCGCTAGAAAATTCAACAAATCTGGTAAAATTATTTTTTCAAGACAGAGTTTACGATTGAATTGCAAATTGAATAAGCGCACGGTATGATAAAATATGTTAGGTATTCTAGGATTATTTTTCAACCGATACTCTTTTAAGATATAAGATCTATTAAAAAAGGCGCAACGCAACCAACGTGCAAAAGTCAAAGTTTTTGCTATAAATCAAGCAACAATGGACTACACGACCTGTAATAAATACTTGTAAGTGATGTTATCATAACTAAATTAATGTCATTGCTGAATTTATAAAATAAGTTTCCAAACGTAAAATAAAAAATAATCGAAAATAATTAAAATGGGACGGAGGGGGGGAGGGGACGGAGGGGGGGAGTAATAATTCTATAAAGTGAAACAACTTCACACGAATTCTTGTATTTGAAAAATTAACTCATTAACTTAGTAAGAAACTGGATGATATACCCCTGGAGACTGAAAAATGGGGACATTTGGAGTAAAAGGACTTAAAGTCGCGACACATCTCTAATCATGTCTTATATACATATTGCTCCCCCCCTCCGTCCCCTCCCCCCCTCCGTCCCAAATTCATTATTTTCGATTATTTTTTATTTCACATATGGAAACTTATTTTATAAATTCAGCAATGACATTAATTTAGTTATGATAACATCACTTACAAGTATTTATTACAGGTCGTCCAGACCATTGTTGCTGGATTTATAGCAAAAACGTTGATTTGTGCCTGTTGATGGCCTTGCGCCTTTTTTAATAGATCTCATACCTTAGATGCGTATCGTTTCAGAAAAAATCTCAGAAAACCTAACATATTCTACCATACCGTGTGCCTATCCATTTAGCAATTCAATAGAAAACTTTTTCTTGAAAAAATAAATCTTCCAGATTTGTTGAATTTCCTGCTCCCCCCCTGCTCCCCCCCTCCGTCCCATATTCACGATCACCGGGTGTGTAGATACAATTAGATCTTCTGACATTTTAACTTTTTAACATGACTTTTTATTGTAATTTTATGCTGGGGAATAAAGCTTCGATTTTATCATATTTTATTTATGATTTTTGTTAAAGTATATTAAGTTGATACTCGTTAGAAAATTACCCTATTACAGTAAGTTGACACACGTTAGACAAGTCAACTACCATATTATCGCCCACAAAGATCGATCTTCAATTACTTCATTATATTTCCGAATTTTATGTTGCCGTTTCTGTTTTACATTCGGCAATCGGCAACTTTATAGTCACGGCAATATTTCATGTTATCCAGTATTTAGGAAAATAAATGTTGGGAGGATGAAATAACTATAAAACACAAAATTGAAAAATTTGTCAGTGACATTTCACATGCTTTGTGGGGTACCCTTTGGATTTGTTTGACTGCTGCACTCAGAGTAGTAGTCTTGCCTCAAAACTGTGGACCCCACCCCCTTATCTACAACACAGAACACATCACACACATACCTAGTGTAAAGAAGATAGGAGGAGGGGGGGGGTCCAGGGTCTTGAAGCAAAACTATCAGAGTAGCTTAGGGGTGGGGCCTTTTAGCTCTGGGTGTGTGATACAAGAACTTCATCCAAAAATAGACACTAAGTCAATCTAATTATCAATAGCAGTTCATACAAAAGAGGTTTAAATGTAAGATGAACTTCTAAAGCATACGTGATTATCATCATTTGAATCACATAAGACAATGACATATTACTGATAAACATGTGATAAGTTAATTGAATAATGTAAAACAAAGAAACGTAATTGACTTCATGAGAAAACGCAGGTAGACATAAGATGAGCCTAGATGTCTGTGTTTTGTTGTTTTTTCATTTGTGAAACATCATAAGAATGCTGTGCAATTTCCTTCATTGAGTAGATGGTCACTGATTGATATACAGGAACAGTGATCTCCTCAGCATTAAAGCAAGTGGGCACAGTACCCACCTGAAAATTCATTTGCGTCCACTCGAAAATGAGAAAAATCATGAAAAATTGGCATATGTTGACTAATTTTGGTCTAAATTGTGAAAATGAGAATTTTGCACCTACTTGAGAAAAAATCCTGTGGAGAACACTGTACTGGGGAACATTAAATAATTAATGATCTCTTTTGTCCTTTATTATATTTTTCCCTTTATTCTTATTTGTCACTTGTCCTCTCTTCGGTGTCTCGTAGGTGTCCTGAATTCCCACCAGTAAGCCAAACTGACAAGTATCCGATGACAATTAGATGGCTTTATAGTTCTCATCAAGCTCAAATGTAGCTGCTATTTTCATTTTTACAGGAAGCTGAAATGGATTTTTTTGATTTTTTAATGTGTCTGATTGGATATTATCAATAAATAACACAAGTAGATAGAGAAAATAACGAAGTTAGAATACCAAACTTATATAATGAAAATAAAGTGCACCATAGGTAAATGCATGCATACAGATACTGAAAATGCCTGTTGCCCTAGTGCAATGAGTCAAAATCATATTATGAGGTAAAACTGTTCAGAAATCATTAATCAAACTATTGAAAGGAAGAAGCCTGGTAAACATACTATTGCACTATCCCAACTAAGTTGAGAAATATGTTTTATAGCCTGTTAGATTCTCTGCTATGTACATTGGTATTTTGGGTATTTCAAGGTTTCTAGTACAGTATATAATTGCTATTACCCTTTGACTTCAACTTCGCTTCTTAAAAGAGAGTTTCATCTTCACTCTTTCAGTTTACAATAAATCTCTGATCTCAACGAGCCAATCAGAGTTTGTCGTTGAAATATGGATGACTTTCTATATTTGGGCATTGGTCTTTGATGTCATTGCATATTTGATGAGTGGTAGGTTTGAAATGATGTGTAACCTGGGCTGTCACAGGCAGCAGTCTTTGGGTTGGGACTGCTAATTTAAAACTGTAACATAGTCTATACTAGGCAGAGGGTAGTTTATAACTAGACTCTGCACGCAGGGTAAATTGCTATCCTCTTATATATAATGAATAAGATGTTTCTGATAATACTCATGGTCAGACTGGCAAATTGCAGAAAATGACCCATTCATGAAAGTTCCAGGATAGTATTTATTTCGAAATGTAACCACGATAGAAAAGATAAAATAATTCAAGAAATAAAGAAAGTATTTAAGACTCTAGGATATTCCATTTAGATACTTCCAACGTATTGAAGGCCATTCAAGCAAACTACACAAAAATAAGCTCAGATTATTATTTTAAGCCCAGGTGCTTATCTGTTTGCTTTGCAAATTGGAAAAACATGGCAAAATGTGATTCCTAATAAGAATCTGATGTTAATTTTAGTGGTTGCGTAGTTCTTTATTAACAATATTACAACTCACAGGAATGAGGCTGAGTCTGAATTTAGGCGACTCAAAAAAGTAAAATATATAGATGAGGTAAAACCTAAGCCAAAAGGGATGTGATTAAGACATAATTCTCATTTAAAAATACTAGAATATAATCTATATTCTCTCCCCAGGATTGTGCCACACAGGCATAACTAGCTAACTGTTCCCATTGCCTCATATACCAGGCATTGTAGATCGGCCTTGTAGAACTAGTCAAACCATGGAAGGATTTATATCAAATCAGAATGCAGTTTGTACAATATGTTTATTTTTATGACGTAAGTATGATGAAATGCATAATTTTGGTGTCATAGTCACAATTGGTCTATTGGGAAATTCCATATTGAATTCTGCTTTGGTATTAAATAAGATGGTCGATTGAACTTACTTAAAAATCACCAAGTGCATAAAAAGTTAAATGTGAATGAAGTTAACCCAGTGAGGTAATTAGAATAGCCATGGGTCTCTTGTTTTGGTTTTTCTAACAAAATGCTATCATAATAGAAAAAAGTAAGGATGCTGTGGCAAGTCTTCCGGTTATTGTGAAGATTTAAACAAACCAAGGATTGCACATTTAGGTAGACCCCGGAGGTAGACTCTTCCTTTAAGTAGACAGGAAGAGACAATGGGCAAAGGTTTCTCATTTCATTAGACAATAGGAGACAATAGAATGAGACCCCTCCTTTAAGTAGATAATAGAAGATGTAACACTGAGACACTGGACACAGGGACAGGCTTCTATTTTCAGAAACATCTGGAGCATCTAGGCAGGGATCAGTTATGCAAAAATTAATTTCTGTATAAATGATTATTCATTTTATATAATTTTGACCATAACTTCATTCATAATCTCTTAGGTGATGGTCAAAAGTAACAATGTGACTTAACATGGATCAATTCATCCAAAAATTAATTATTATTAATTATTATTTCTCTGTATTTTCAGTGAAGAGTACTGGTATATTATGCCTGGTTGGAGTGGGTCTTGGAATTGGGACAATCTTGATGTACAGACTCTATAATCGCTTCTACGATTGTGACATCAGACAACGATGTAACGGCATCTACGATAAACATTTAACTAAAAAACGAAAAAGTGAAGAAAATCAAAATGGTGAAGTATCTGATGGTAGCCCAGGAAGGAAAAGAAAATACAGCCAGTTAGAGAGGCAGGATCTAGAAATAGTAAGTTGATTTGCATATCATACGGGGATCTTGAAACTAATATTCTTACAATTTCTGAATTTTTGATATTCTTATAAAAATTCATGCCCCCCTGCCAATAATCTTTTCAAAATCATGCAGTTTTTCACCATTCTGTCAAACAGAACCCCCTTGGAGTTTTTTGGCGATCTCCTAGATGACCAAATCTTGTGAAAATATCATGTCATCTCACAAAATGACATGCAATAACAGAATAATGACACATAATCAATGAACATATAGCTCAATTATATGAAATCAACAGCTGCTATTAAGTGTAGCATTATTTGTTTTGTATTTCAATATCTATCTCATGTATCTATATATTTTATGAATGTGGGTGCTTTATGACCATGCTTCAGGTTATATTAATAATTCATGGTTTGGTTTCAATCATGTCTACCCTTTGCATTCGTTCGACTTCACTTCTTAAAAGAGAGTTCCATCTAACGAGACACTGCACGCAGGGTAAATCATGTCAAGATGTGACACTCCATTTTTTCTCTGATGTTCCAATGATTTAATATTTTAAACAATAAAAAGGTTATTAGTAAATGTATAATTGTGTTAAAATTGAATATCATAAATCTACATCCCATTTTTTATTTTTTATTGTTAGAAATAAATATGTATTTTGCAGTCATTCTTATTATCTTAACTCAATGATAATGTTACACCTGTCATAAGCCCATGTTCCCTCAGACCAGGTTACTGTTTTATATGTCTCTGGGTAACCAGTATATTATATAGTCCTATAGTCAATAGACTCAACCAAATCCAAAAATTGGCAGTTTATAGACCTTTTACGTAGACAAAAATTGGCAGTTTATAGACCTTTTATAGATTTTGATATGATATTCATAAATTGGTGAATCAAAATCTACATGCTTGTGATATTATTCAATTTTTAACTCTTCATTCTAGAATTATATACTTTGGCAGTTTTATGAGTGCAATCAATCCTTGCAGGTGAATTGAGCAACTAAATGTGATATCTCTAATACCATATGTCAAATCAAACTAGTTTGACACAGCTTTCAGTTATTAACTTATTCATTTTCTAATCAAAACATCCAAAAGTTCATATTAATGTTATTTCATAGCTGCACATGTTTCAGATATAATTATTTTATTTCATTTGTTTATTTACTTATTTACTTTATACACATAAGGAGAAACTGAAATCTGGTAAATATTGCTTGTTTTTCAATCCACATACGTAGATTCTTATGATGAAATTAAGCATTTTGTAAAAACACCAAAAAGAAACCAAAGAAGTTACTATTTTTCTCAGATCAATTGTAGACAATTTCATTCATTTAATGTTTGGAGAAATGATAACTGATGAACTGAGTTCCTAAAAGTTGTATGAGTGATACTCAAAGAGTTGAGGATGTGGTAGATTTAATCATTCTTGATGATTGTTCTCTGAATTGCACGTGAACTAAGTTCCTGTCATTTCATCAGGATTAGAGGAGAATTTCTCCCATGATTCTTCAGTAAACTGTCATAAGTGAAGTAGGAGATTCCATTTTCTGAAATATATGTTGCCAGTCAAACCTTTTTCAATTCATATCTAATTTAGATATTGTAATTTGCCAAAAAGGTACCATATTTATACCAAAGTAAAATGTCATCATAATACATGGCAAAGGAAATGATCAAGAGATATTATGTTATACAAAATAGCGCAGTTAATCAGTGAAAGAATTATGGGATATGTCAGTCTCCATTGATGACAATCATAATGACTTAATGCCTGGGAGGGGGTGGTTTAATTAAACACATATGCATTACTTGTTTGTATATATGTTTAATATGCATCTATGTATATTGATGACACATACATATTGATGGTGATGAAATCAACTTTTTTGCTCAAATAGTTATTTTGAAATAAGATACAAGATTCAAGAAATCAGAAAGATTAGAATATAAAGGAGGTTGGAATACGATTTAGTAATGATGTAACTACACAAACTACTATCAGCCATATTCCTCCAATACCTCATAAAACAACATATCAGTAGAACTTGGACACATCAGAGAAAAAAGGATTTGCAAAAATACTTGTAAACAGAGACATTGATTTGTTCATGAAGATGTATGCTTGCTAGATGTCTACATGGGATTTTTATTGCTGTTTGGTAATAATTGCTTGTAGAGATGTTAGGGACTGTTGTTGACATTACAACATAACTTAAAATAAGAAAAAGTTGAATTCACAACATTGCGTCATTACCACATGATTAACATCATTAAGCTGGATCTATTTTCAAACCAAAGAATCAATGTACATTAGAAAATAAGCATTTTTTCATTTTCGACATTCTTATTCTTTGTGTAAGTCAACAAATACGTGCGTATAGGATTAGAGTCTTGAATGTGTAATTTGTGCAATCAAGAAGCAGATATTTAAGAACCTATTTACTTTTTTTTCCTGTTTTTTTATTCCAGTCAAATGTAAGTTGATTTCCATGTTACATAAACAACATTTAGATGAATTAACCAAATTATGACTCTGGTCACTGCAGACAACAAATGTACCACACCAAGGTCACTCAAGTACAAAATTTAGAATTTGAAGCTTCTGTTTACTATTGATTTAATTTATATTCAATTGATCTGCTCATGTTAACAGATGTGTGGATACTTGAACTACCAGTCACACATAAAAATGAGACAGAAATAGTTTAATTATTTCCTCTAATATAATTATCAATATCAATGCCAGATCGTTACAATATTGAACATGTCGGGTGGTTTCACTAATTGTAATCCATTTCTGAGTATGAAAATATTTTGTATTATGCTAAAAATATGTGAAGTTGATGTCAAGAAATCTGCATTTATTTGAACAATCGCATGTGTTATGATTGCGATTCAAGACATCTAATGTAATAATTTGGAATGAACTTTTCAATGTCAAAGTTCAGAATAATTCTTGAATTTTGAAATTTTGACATTCAAATCTTACATTACAGAGATCAGCTGTCATATGTCTTAAATGTTGCTCTTTGATTTAAAGATGTCTTTGATTTCCATGATCTTTGATTTTGATGTTTTTTCTTTTAGAGGTTTAGCAATGTGAGGTTAGAATGACCTTCCTATTGTTTTAATACTGCAATTTATCCGCATCTTTTCTATTTGTAGACTTCAGCTGAAGATCGACTGCATCAGACAAACTGCATTATGGGTAATCAATATTCTGGACCAGATGAAGCCAGATATTCAAAATACACCAATAGTCTAACACTTGGTAATTATCCTCCGTCATTCGATGATGGGAATGAATTGCGACAACTCAACTCAGACCACCATGAAAGCTACGGGCCTCTGGATAATGGCTCATTACATCCTATGCACGACAGTGGGATTCAATATGATGCAGAACAGAATTTAATATACAGAGGGCGCTATAGGCATAAATCAGGCGAATCAGACAGTCAGAATAATCTGTTGCTAGATCGCGCAGATTCTCTTGTATCATATGACAGTGATATACATTTACCATCAGACATTTCTTTAGGGGATTCATCTGGACCCTGGACCCCCAACTCTCCATTATCACCATTTTTGAAAAACAATTCACTGAATGGAAGTAATGGAAGTGCCAAAAAAGACAGTGTTAGCTCAGATATCTCAGAAATGTCAACACCCAGCAGTGAATTATTTGAAACTGACACAGGTATCGACACAGTTGAAAATCTTGATAAAGTTGAGCAAGAATTGGAGGAAATAAAATCGGAAATTTCTGATATCAGTTGTAAAGTATCAGACCTTAGCTCGAAGGAGTCACTTCTAAACAGTATGGAAGATGGAAGTGATGATATTTTCATTTCGCCAGAAACTTTCAATGAGGAAAACTTAAACAAAGCTTTATCCGTTCTGAGGAAATATAAAGTGAACAATTTAAAAAGGGTGTATCGCTCCCAGAGTGTCCCGGAGCATGTGGAGAAGTTAAAACTTGTGGGGAGACAGAATCACTTCCCCTACCCTCAGGATTATGACTGGGAACTCGACATGGAAATGGTAGAAGATTTCGATCAAAGCCAATCAGCACCAAATATATACAAAGATTTTATTGGACAAATGTCCAGCAGTGCTAGCTCTCCAGATATATGTCAGAGGTCGTCTTGTAGTAACTGTCTGCATGACGATTGTCAGAACCTCGTAACAACAAACTCAGACACATCGTTACATCACCAGTTACGATTATGTACTCATGGGAGATTATGCAGTGAGAGAGAGCGAGGGTTAGGTGTAGATAATTGTCATATTAATTCGTTAAAGTGCTCTATATGTTCTTCTTGTACTTTAGACAATGGTAGAGGGAGTTCCCGCAACAGTGTACATACTCTCCACTCTATGCAATCTTCAGAGTCTACCCCTAAACATCACCGTGACAACACTATTGCTGCATATGATAACACTGTTGCTAATACAAGCGACCATACCTCAGAAGTTGCTACGTCAACTTTAGACAATCTTTCAAATTCACCAAAGCTCACTATTACCAAATCAAGATCTGATGTAGACGCATGATGTCAGCTCCCTGTTGAGGGATGTAGACAGTAAGATGCAATGCAAGTATAATGGTTTCAGCTAAAATCTATGCTCTTTAGGCTACTCCACAGGCCTTAGATTTGTATTAAAGTCTAATGGCTTCAGAAAGTGTTCCAAGACCTGAAACTGGTCTACAACAAGTCTGCTTTGCTTTTGATGTGCTATATACAAAACTGGTAAATTGTGAACTTATTTAGCTTCTTTATTTTGTCAAGTGCATATACTGCATACATCTGGGGAGAAATTGATACTATATCATCAGGTGAAACTGTTAAATTGTTGCTTTTTGTTCTTGCTATCCTTTAATGTTGAAACATTGAAGTGTTATGTCGTTGGTAAGAAAGTTGTAAAAAGTGCTAATTGTGAAATATACGGTTCATAAATACAATGAAAATGCATCTGTTAACTACAGTTCACTATTACACCGTGCAATTGTCACATTTTTTGCACTTATATATCATACATGATTAGTGAATTTGGTACTTACATGTTCAGATATGGTGTTACTTGAGATAACACAGCAGTATATATAGTGCAGTTGTAATGTTTAGTTCACTGGTGTGACATATTGTTCCCAAATGTGACATGAAGTTCACATGTGTGACAAGGAGTTTACAAGCATGACAAACTCTTCACAAGCGTGACTAGTAACAGTTCACAGGTGTGACATGTCACAGTTTACAGAAATTGTACAGTTGATTAGAAAGTGCAGGTCACTTGATAATGAGAAAAATGCATGATTGGGGTGAGTTATTGTAAAATTATTATTGTTAAAATGTCCGTTTTGAAAGAGGCCTCATGTTACTAGCCTTGTATTTATGTAGGTCATGCAGTGGTTAACTTTTCATTAAAAAATATCTGGTAAAAATAGTCTCGCATGTAGTTCGTAACATAGTGTGCAATTTCGTCTTTTTCCTTGCCATCTGTACTGTTACATAACAAGGATAAACCATGCAGGCCCGTAGCCAGGATTTGCCAAGGGCGGGGGGGGTTCAGTTTTCAAAAATTTCCATGGGGGTTCACATTTGACAATTTTGGCCCAAATATGGCTAAAATCACTTGAGAAGTGCTCAAAATGGTGAAAAACTGCATGATTTTGAAAGAATTTTTGGCCAGGGGGGGGGTTCGCTCGAACCCTGCGAACCCCCCCCCCCTGGCTACGGGCCTGCCATGGAATCTTTAATACATGGTTTCTGTTGCGTTTATTATTCAACCGTCGTACATACAAAAATAAATAACCTTGGCGGTTATCGATTGTTTAACAAGGTTTGATATAAAATTGTCTCTGTTTTCTAATTCTACACATCACTTGAGACCATTTCCCTTTCCTGTGGAAATATTGTAAAGTTTTCTCATTTTTCCCATTGTTGGCACAATTGTTATTTATTGTTGTTTATTTACTGCCCGGGATATTGAGATTTAATTTACTGGTTTAATTTCTCTGTATTTTCTCTATTTATGTTGTTTAACCAGAAAATGTAGGAAGCCATGGTGATATTTCTCGCAAGACTTGTATTATTAATCAATACTAAAGAGAAACTGTTTCATATTGAAATTGATCCCAGAATTAACAATCTGCTTTGCATATATGATATAAGCCTCTGTTCTCTATGTATATGCATATCTTATTTGCCGTGTTTCCTATTTTAATGATATCTATTTTTCAAGTATTTTTTGAATTAATCATTTGTTGTTGTTAAATGAGAAACAAAAAGCCAATTAATTAATTAATTTCAATCAGTTCAATAAAGGGCAATAAATTCTTCAACCCAAACTCAAGCCATGGTTTCTCAATTCTGATTACAGGGCAGCTGTCCCTTGTGAACACTGAATACTCCATTTACTTTTGTATTGAAAGTCTGTGTAGTGAACACCTGCCTATAGTGAACCCATTTTGTTCATTCTCTACAGGCTTTACTGTACCATATTTGCCGCATTAGAGTAAGTGTGAATGCCTACTGTGTTTCATCTGATCCATTTCATTAAATTAAACATGAGGGATAACAAAATGTTTCTCCCGTGGTGTAGGTAATCTTTGTATGGTGCACATACATTTTTCTACTTTCGTTCCATGTACGAGGGTTGCTGAAATTTCAGCCTTTATTAATAAAAACTCTTGGTCTTATAACAATTAGTTCAGGACTTCTGGAACAATCCTCGTATATGTGTACATGTACCAGAAAGATTGCATGAAAGCAGAGACAATTTGAAGATATAACAGATATGTAAAAATTGGGGTTTATCCCCTGGGAAATACATGTATGTGTTATGACACTTTAGTGTATCTCCCTCAGGTTAAGTGGTTTTATACCAGTATACCCCTTCGTGACATAACTGCTCAACAAAGTGCAATACAAAAAACATTGCACTTGGGGTAGCACTATTTCAGTAACCATTTATCAGTGTTTTCATACGGTTTAAAATTTGTAGTCCTGTATCACATGTATCAATGTATCAAGCCCCGGCCCTGTATGCTTCCCCTCATTGTTGGTAAGAGGATAGGAGGTGTACAGGGGTTTGGTGCAAGACTATAAAACACAAGTCAATGTGACGATTGTGCAAATCTTTCTAAATCAAACTTCATAATTATTTATTATTTATTTAATCTTATTTTACTCCCTAGTCTTAATATTTCACAATTATTTGATATGCTATATCATGTATATTGTATTAAAAGTGTGATTTATTTAAATCAATATAAAAAATAAATAAGATGATATAAATAAATGTAATCAATAACTGAATCATGCATAATACTTAAAATTGTGTATATAATAAAACTTGTGACTTTGTGTGTAACATAATATACACCCCTTTCATATGATCACAGCCATGGCATTGTAGGTGTTTACATTACTACGGAATATAACTGATCCGAAATGGAGAAAGTGTTCCACAGTTAGTTCTGCTTGCGATACAACAGCGCCCAGTCTCTAGGGAGTTGATTTTACTTTCTATAGGTACAAATCATATACTTGGGGATAGAGTGGTTCTAAAGCCTTCCCGACCACCTTTGTTTACATTCGCAAAACTGTGAAAAAACTTGAAAAGTTGTCATAACTTTTTTAAAACTCCATAAATGGAACCGATTTCACTTGTCATATACAGGTATTTTAGTTCTAAATGAACTGAGCAGGTCAATACCATTCATAAAATCTTCAAATTAACTATTTCTCCAGTTGAAGAAATTCAATCAAAGACCACGTGTTACACAGGAATGATCATTTAGTGAGCTCAATACGTTATGCATGATCATTCCGGTGTAACACATGATCTCCATTTCAGAGGGGTAAGGTCATCATTTATACAGAAATGATCAGTTATATTCCGTGGTAATCAGTGCCATGGCTGTGATCATATGGAAGGGGTGTATAGGTTGATTGATCTGATTGGATGATAGATAGACCAATCAAATGTGTGCATGTATCATAAGAGTGCTAGGATATAATCCTTTTTCACTTGGTCTCCACGTGTTGCCAAGCCAAAAGCTACTGTTTCTGCAAGATTATGGCCCACCAGTAGCAGATTTTGCTAATATTTTGCTTTCTCCATTGAGGCCATTTCTTGTATGACTTTCTCCATAATATTATGTGTCCAGGCAGCACACAATCTCTGATTTCAAAATATATAACACGTAACAGTATCACAAAATGTCATATTTTTGTGTTACTTGTTTTTTTACCACAATAACATTAGGTTTATACTAATTACACATTCTGAAAACTGGATTGACGAAACTGTACAAGAAATTGGTTTAAAATGAGAACCCTAAATATCTTACCAAATCTGCTACCGAGAATGCATACCATCTTGTTACGAACGATGGCTTGGCAATGTGTCGAGACCAAATGAGCTTTACGCAATAGATAATATATTTGTACACTGTACAGTATTGCATGCACTTAAACTTGTTGATTCTGAAGATCATGGTATGAATAATTGTGACCTTTAGTGTTTTGATGGTATCGAGGGAAATTAGGGCAAATCTGCATTTTTTATCTTCCCAGTCCTTTATTAATCTTGGCATGGGCATTCAACTCTAATTGAAAGCCCATGATCTTGGCAAAGTAACTGTTTGGTCAACAAATGAAGGTCACATGATAGCTGTAGAGTGTAGGAATGTGATCAAGGCACATTGGGAAACTTTGACATGAGAAAGGAGTAACTTGACAAGTGTTTTTGACATTTTTGAATTCAGCAAAATAAAAAAATAGAAAAAACATGGCTTCTCTGGATCGAAAATGAGAGCGAAATGTAACAAGGTGTCAAAATTACCTATTTGTCAAAGGTACCACAAAATGAAGCTATACAGCGTCAAGTTTTGTCTCCTCATCCTGGCCTCCTGAAAATATGGTTAAATCCTTTGCTTAATTAAATGGTGCACAGACTTCATATTTGAATGAGATAAATCTCATATGTACCACAATGTTTTAATATATGAGTTATCTCCACTATTTAAATTGGTGTATGAAGAAATATAAGTTTCCTCAAAACGAATTCCATTTTATGTCTTCATGACAGTCCTATATTTGAAATTGTATGTCTAAAATAGTAGTGCCATTTGAAATGTTTAATTGTACACATATATGCACAGGCCCATAGCTAGAATTTGCCAAGAAGGGTATAACTTTTTTAAAATTCCAGGGGATTTCACTTTTGACAACTACTCAAAAATGGCCAAAATCACTTGAAAAGTGCTCAGAATGTTGAAAAACTACATGGTTTTGAAAGAATTTTTGGCTTGGATGGTTCACTCGATCCCCATACCCTGCCCCCCTGGCTACAAGCATGATGTACCTGAGTGCAACAATACAAATTATCTAATGAAATGGCATCATTTGAACTATACCTCCATTCAAGAATTTATCTTGAATTGGGGGATATGGCCTCATGTTTGAAAGGATGTGAAATCAAAATCAAATACCCTCTGTAAAGAAAAAAGGTGCATTGTCCTTTACCAATCATTCATTTTTTATTTTTCATTATTGTCATACCAAACATTTAGGGGTATAATGAATGTATACTTTGACCAAATGGAGAAAATTTCAACAAATTTCGTAAATATTGTAAAAAGTTAAAAAGGATTGAATAGAACAACTCCCAAAATCGTGAGTTTGACTTTTTACCATAAATTGACGTCATAAAGAGAAATCCTTTACCAAGCAATGTGCTCAAGAAGGGGATCTTTATAACCCTTAATCATTCTTAATTACCCATAAATATGTTATACATTTTACTTAGCTTATGCATACCAAAATTTATGTCAGATGTGATATATAAATGTGTTCATTAAATCATCATGTGGTTACATTCTATTCCTAATTTCACTGCTATTTGAGTTGTAAAATTGTCTAAAAATCATGTTTTAGACAGGTTTTGGCACTTCCATAATTACAGTCAGTGTGTCAATGTTTAATTTCAGTTATGACCAGTTTGGAATGGGCTTTACAATTTTTTTTAATTTTCATCTAATTTTTTTAAATTTCCACCAGTTATTCACAATATTTACGCCATGTGCCTCCCAGAGTTTAGAGATATTTTACAAAATTCTGAAGATGTTATGAGTGATAAAGGATCATGCACCTTTTTTCTTTACATAGGGTGCCTACTTTTGCCTGGGTCACATTTGATGTGATTCATCGGCCGGCGCCTGGCCGATTGAATATTTTGTTCAAAATTGAATACATTTCTGAACAAAATACTCAATCGACTGGGTGCCGTAGTGAAAATTGGAGCAAATGTGACCAAGGCATTAGATGGAGAATATTATCATTAAATACAAAACAGATTTCCAGACTTGAGGAAATGCACTCATGTATTGGCAAACTCCTTTTAAATTGAATTGTATTCCAATAAGGAAAATGGTATGATGTCATAATGACATGTCAGTATCATCATCTCCAGAGCATCATCTTTAAGAGGGAGAATTACCTAAAATTCAAATATGAACTTATGTTCTTGTAAAAATGAACCTTTGAGTCTGGCTAATTCTCCCTCTTTCTATGACAGAAGTAAGTTTATTATGAAGCTTTGATTGATCAACCTTTGAAACATATATTGAGCGCATGTGTGGGTGAAAATATCAAACATGTGGAACAGGACATTTTAACCTTAACAAAAAATAATGTAAAACCAAAGAATAGATGAAATAAAACAAGCTGTTTTATAAAATTAAGACTTTTATTTCTGTGTTTTTCAAATACAGTATGTGCAATGCAATTGTTTTTATTGCGATTGGAAATTGTGATAAACAAGCAATTGTATTCCAAGGTGTCCAGTTGTTACAGTTTTGGAAAAATAAAGTTAATTTTGTAAGGGTAACAGGCTTTATATAGATAATCTGGTGCAATTTCAAGATGTTACAATGGGGGAGGGGGGGGGGGTTGGGGGGGTTAGAAAATTAATTTTGTTTTTCCACAATTGTCAACAATGGATATCAAACCTAATCAGAATCCAGTATTTCAAGTGAGGTACTAATAACATCAAATGTTGACTTATGCCTATGTTCAAATGTAAAAAGTTATGGAAAATGTTTTATCAACCCCTTTTGATAAAGTAAAATTAACAGCACATTTAGTGTTTTATAGAATGTGTTTATGTGGCTCTAATAGCTTCCACTTGTTGGTATTTGTTTGTCTGTCCTTTACTTTGGAAGAAGTTTACTACATTCTATTGTATTCTCCTCTCTTGGTTACCTTAGTCACAAGGAACATGGTGCCATCCTGTAGAAAACAAAAACAACATCAGTTCAATTGGTTCATTCAAATCAGAATCCGTATATTCTAAGAGAAATTAGAATAGAGTGAAAAATGTTCCCTTACAAGTTACACCCCAGTCACATTTCCTACGGCGACCTTGCGGTCTATCATTTCTGCGGCCAGTAACATTTCTACGCTCGCCGTGAGAAATAATACTTTTTTCATTTTATTTACATCGGGACAATTTATAAATGTTATTCATAGTGCTAGGATGTAATATCAAATGAAAAGTGATCGTGAAACATTGACAAATAATGATTCAATCTTGTTGAGCCAGTTGATTTCTACGGGGACCTCAGAAATGAACAAATATTATAACTCCGAGTTATAATTTCTTTGGCGACCCTGCGGCCTGTAAAAAACTGGATACGCCGTACAGAGGCCGCAAGGCGAGCGTAGTTTTGCTACGCTCGCCGCAGAAATACACTGATTTAATTGATCTGCGGTCGACGCACGCCCTCCGTACGAATGTGACTTGGGTGTTACAATCCTTATCATATGTAAAAATTGAATTATTTGATCAAATAAATAAAAGAAGATTTTGAAGATTTTTCAAATATAATACCAACTAACCCTAACAAGGCACAGGACGTGAACGAGATCACACCATCAAATAGGCAGACACTATGAACCAGGAAAACTGTTCTCCTATTATGTTTACAAATTTCAAGAACAAGAAAAAAATGTTGGCTGTGGTCATATTAATCAAGTGCTCACATCTTGAGCTAAAATTTAAGGCAATATGACAAAGTGGATTGTTTTCGATGAGAAGATTTATTGAAAAACCTTCAAAATGGCCGCCAGAAAACAAAATGGCCACCCAAAATTTAAAAGTTCTAGAACTTGATATCCCCTATCATGTACAGGAAATCCGATGAGCGGTTTTCCTGAAATGGCGATGACAAGATTTTTCAAAAAACCTTAAAAATGGCCACCAGAAAACAAGATGGCCGCCAAAAAGTTAATCAGCTCTAGTACTTGATATCCTCTATCATCTGTGCGAATTTGAAGGAAATCCGATGAGCGGTTTTCCTAAATTGGCGATGACAAGATTTTTTCGTAAAAGCTTCAAATGGCCACCAGAAAACAAGATGGCTGCCACAAAGTTAATCAGCTCTAGTACTTGATATCCTCTATCATGTGTGTAAATTTGAAGGAAATCCGATGAGCGGTTTTCCTGAAACAGCGATGACAAGATTTTTCAAAAAATCTTCAAAATGGCTGCCAGAAAACAAGATGGCCACCCAAAAGTTAATCAGCTCTAGTACTTGATATTCTCTATCATTTGTGTAAATTTGAAGGAAATCCAATGAGCGGTTTTCCTGAAATGGCGATGACAAGATTTTTCGAAAAACCTTCAAAATGGCCGCCAGAAAACAAGATGGCCACCCAAAAGTTAATCAGCTCTAGTACTTTATATGCTCTATCATCTCTGCGAATTTGGAGAAAATCTGATGAGCAGTTTTCCTTAAACGGCGATGACAAAAAGCGGGACGATCACGACCACGATCACGACCACGATCACGACCAGTATCAGCTCTACTACTTGATATCCTCTATCATGTGTGTAAATTTGAAGGAAATCCGATGAGCGGATTTTCTGAAATGGCGATGACAAGATTTTTCAAAAAATCTTCAAAATGGCTGCCAGAAAACAAGATGGCCGCCCAAAAGTTAATCAGCTCTAGTACTTGATATTCTCTATCATTTGTGTAAATTTGAAGGAAATCCAATGAGCGGTTTTCCTGAAATGGCGATGACAAGATTTTTCGAAAAACCTTCAAAATGGCCGCCAGAAAACAAGATGGGCACCCAAAAGTTAATCAGCTCTAGTACTTCATATGCTCTATCATCTCTGCGAATTTGGAGAAAATCTGATGAGCAGTTTTCCTTAAACGTCGATGACAAAAAGCGGGGCGATCACGATCACGACCACGATCACGATCACGACCACGACCAGTATGACGACTATATCCCACCGATGGTGTGATAAAAATGAAAGAATTTTCCTGGAGTTAAGTTGGAACTACTATAAAATCTGCATGATTTGGGTTGAAGAGAGCAATACTTGCATCTCATCAAACCCCTCTATTCCCTCGATCTGCTAACTCATGTCTAGATGCTCACATTAAAACTGAAGGAAAACAATTGAGTGATTTGATTTTGTGTATTACTCAGGGACCCAAGTTCTGAGAAACAGCTAGAAAGTGAAAATGGATATTGGAAAGTATTACGCGAGATTTTTTCAGTTCTTGTTGGAAAATAAGTTACTTTTATGATGTGGGGTGATATCTAGAGTTTGAGACTTGCGAAAATAAGATATCTTCATCTTTATACCCCCCGCCCTATAATTTTAGGGGGGTCAGAAGAAAATAGACTTTAATTCATAACTTTAGAAGTATATGAGATACAAACTTAATTTTTTCACCAAAATTTATGAAATAACATCAGTAATGAAGAAAAAAATATTTTGAATGAAAAAAAGCTAATTTGCATAATTTAACCCTTAAACTGCCATAAAAACTAGTAAATGACGAAATGATGTTATATCACATTTACTGTTATTGCCTTCATATGAAGTTATAACTTATGAAATAATTCCTGAAAATGCATCTATATATGTATAATAAATGTGCAAAATATTAGAAGTGTATCTTAGATAAAGACTGTGAAAATAATTCTCCCCCTACCCAGATTTTTGAGGGGAGGGGGTCAAATAAAAATGGACTTTAATTCATAATTTTAAAAGTATATGAGGTACAAACTTAATTTTTTCACCAAAGTTTATGTTATAACATCAGTAATTCAGAAAAAATATTTTTGATACGCAAATAAGTTAATTTGCATAATTTAACCCTTATACAGTCATAAAAACTGTTAAATGACGATGAGATAAAATACGACATTTACTCTAATTGACCTCTCATGAAGTTTTAACAAATAAAGTAATTCCTAAAAATGCATCTATATATGTATAACAGATGTGCAAAATATTAAAAGTGTATCTTACATAACGACGCTGAAAAATATTTGTCCCCCTACCCAGATATTTGAGGGGGTCAAATGGAAATGGACTTTAATTCATAACTTTGGAAGTATATGAGGTACAAACTTAATTCTTTCACCAAAATTTATGTTATAACGTCAGTAATTCGGAAAAATATCTTGATATGAAAATAAGCTAATTTGCATAATTTAACCCTTATACAGTCATAAAAAAAAGTTAAATGACAAAGTGATGAAATACGACTTGTATGAAGTTATAACTTGTGAAATAATTCCTAGAAATACATTTACAACAGGTATGCACAATATAAAAAGGGTATTGTATATAATGAGTGTGAAAAAAATCTCACACCCTACCCTAATATTTTAGGGTTGGGGGAAGTTAAAAGAAAATAATAAACTTTGATTCATAACTTTGAAATCGTTAAGATACATACATGAATTAAAACAATTCCTGGTTGATGCCGACCTATTAGAGACCATCGCATGTAACTATTTCACGACTTTTGACTAACATATTTATCATAAATTTTCCAAGTGTCCTTTGAACAGTTTTTTTTTCATTCATTATTATACAATATTTTCCTAGACTTGTATACATATAAAAGTCACTATGGATATCAGTCATTTAGGCAAACAGACTTAATCGTTCATTTTCAAACATATGACATTCTACTTTAAAGTGAGTTTCTGTCTCCATTGACTGTCCACATGGGCACGATCTCTGGTCTAGGGGAGTTGCGTTATTTTTGTTTATATTTCAATATAAAAACAAACCATCATTGGATGTATTACACTTGTTTGCAGCATCCAAAATGATATTAGAGCATTACCACTAATTATGGATGCATTTTTGGTTTATAGCAATTATACATTTCAATGAGTGCTGACAAACCACTTTTTGAGATTCCAGAGCCAGGGAATGGATTTGGATGTCAAGTGGTTCATATTACTCTTGAGACCATTAAAATGACCAAAAAACCGAAACTTGGCAAACGATACAAGGACAAAGCAATATGTTAAACCACTTGCTCATGTGCCACTGCAGGTACAGAATGTTTTGCTGCATGTTCATGCGGCTCAAAGGAAAGTGAGTGTGGACGGGAATAAGTGGATTAACCCCCAATCCCTGAGTGAAGGAAGATTCACATGGAGACATAACAGGGTACTCCAAGAAGTCTCTAAGTACATCAGAAACTAGTCTTCCCACAGAATGTGGCCTTAACAACCCTGCGCCCAGACATGGTTATGACTTCCAGTTCAACCAAGACCATTATCATCATCGAACTAACAGTCCCATGGGAGGATAGGCTAGAGGTTTCACATGAGATCAAAGCAACAAAGTATCAAGACCTCAAAGACGAAGCTGAGACAAGAGGGTGGCACGCATCCGTCTTCCCTATCGAAGTTGGTTGCAGGGGGTTCCCAGCAACATCAGTCAGAACCCTATTATCCAAGATAGGACTGCAACCCAAGGAGCTCAAGAGTGCCTTAAAGTCTATCAGCTCAGCAGCAGAAGACAGCTCCAGATGGCTGTGGATCAGAAGAAGAGATAAGTGGAACCCAAAGGCGACCCAGTCCACCTAAGTCCCACTAGAACAAAGCTTGTTTATGTGGCCAACCACCAGACCACTAGGTGTTCCATATGATAGCTCATATGGACGGGGAGTATACAGCAGGAGGCGCTTACTCAGCCGAACCCGACCTCACACCGATATTCAAGCATGTTCTAGTCCCCCTTTGGCATGTCATTCCCATTCCTCAGTCCAATATGTCAAGTAGCGAAGCATCATGGATGTTTAACAAATGAATTAACCCAAATATATATGATGACATTTTCACTGCATCAGGTACCTACAACCTAGAATATGACACCAGTCCTCACAGTGACTCTGATTATGGTTCAATAAACTTTAGAATTGTTATGGTTACCTTTTTAAGGGTTATTCTGAAACATTGCAAGTTCAATTCAACTCAATTTATTCATACATTTAATCATTATGTGTACACATATTATTAATAATAGGTGGCACCACAGGTGATGCTTAAATACGTAAATACGTAAATAAGTAGTTAAATCATGAAGTATATCATTATGTTGTCAACGAATCAAACCGGAATGTAATCACAAAAGTTAGATAATAATAAATAAAGGTATGGGGGATCCATGATGCTCGTTTCATTTGAAGCCAAGAAGGTGCCATATGCCATGGGGAAATTTTATGAATGTGTAGCTTCATTAATTATTATTTAAAAATGCCAGGCTACCGCATTGACACAAATAATCTTTAAAAGTGTGATTCTTATAAAATGTTAGTTATTATTTTACCTTCCCCAAGGTTGGTATGGTCAGAATTATTATTTTAGATCTTAAGTAGTTTGGAGCAGCCCCCAGGTTGGCCCATATACCTCCCTTGAGAGCCTACCCTTCTTACTGAAGAAACAAGAAATGATATAGTCAACTAATGATTAATAAGCTAAGAGAATATGCTTCTTCAGTTTTGATTTAAGAAAAGAAATGGAATTTGACTTTTTTTATTTCTTCTGGGAGATTGTTCCATATGGAGTAACCACTAAAGGCTATTGTTTTTTGCCATAATTTTCAGTTTTGCTTAAGAAGGGTGAAGTTTGATTTGCCTCTAGTATTATATCTATGAAAATCTCCATAGGTATTGAAATAGTTGGGAAAAATAGCTTCATAATTGTTGATATCATTTTTCTATTTAAATGCTAGCTAGTATTAAGAAAGGATATATTGTCAAAGTCCTTACTTCATGTGAAGTCAAATTCAGTATAGAACCACTTTGCCTTATAATGATTCTCATGACTGTTTGAAGCTTAAATTATGCAAATTAGTTGAAATATAGTATTGTCCCCATGTAATATTCGTTTCATTATTGATGTGATTTCTCAATTTTCAGCGAAGAAATATAAGCTCTTTCTTAAATTATTTCAAAGTTATGAGTTAAAGTCTATTATTTTCTTTAACCCCCCCCCCGAGCCCTCAAAATTATTAAGGTAGGGTGTAAGATTCTTTTCACACTCATTATATAAAATAACCTCTTTATATTGTGCATATCTGTTGTACATTTTTTATAAGTTTTAACTTCATAAGAAGTCAATTAAAGTAAATGCCATATTTTATCACTTCGTCATTTAACGGTTTTTATTACTTTATAAGGGTTAAATTATACAAATTAGCTTATTTGCATATCAAAAAATATTGTTTCTGAATTACTGATGTTATAACATAAATTTTGGTGAAAAATTAGGTTTGTACCTCATATACTTCCAAAGTTATGAATTAAAGTCCATTTTCATTTTGACCCCCCCCCCCCCTCAAATATCTGGGTAGAGGGAGAATTTTTTTCACAGTCGTTATGTAAGATACACTTTTAATATTTTGCACATCTGTTATACATATATAAATGCAACTATATGAATTATTTCATAAGTTATAACTTCATGAGAGGTCGATTAAAATAAATGTCGTATTTTATCGTTTTGTCATTTAACGGTTTTTATGACTGTATAAGGGTTAAATTATGCAAATTAGCTTATTTGCATATCAAAAATGTTTTTTCTTAGTTACTGATGTTAGTACATAAATTTTGGTGAACAAATAGGTTTATACCTCATATACTTCCAAAGTTATAAATTAAAGTCCATTTTCAGTTGACCCCCCTGAAATATCTGGGTAGGGGGAGAAATTTTTTCACAATCTATATATAAGATGCACTTTTAAAATTTTTCACATCTATTATACATATATAGATGCATTTTTAGGAATTATTTCATCAGTTATAACTTCATATGAAGGTAATTACAGTAAATGTTGTATATTATCATTTTGTCATTTAATAGGTTTTTATGGCGGTTTAAGGGTTAAATTATGCAAATTAGCTTATTTTTGTTCAAAATATTTTTTTCTCCATTACTGATATTATTTTGTAAATTTTGGTGAAAAAATTAAGTTTGTATCTTATATACTTCCAAAGTTATGAATTAAAGTTTATTTTCTTTTGACCCCCTCCCTTCAATTTTAGGGTAAGGGGAGAAATATTTTTCACAGTCGTTATGTAAGATACACTTTTAATATTTTGCACATCTAATATAAATATATAGATGCATTTTTAGGAATTATTTCATAAGTTATAACTTCATATGAAGGCAATTACAGTAAAAGTTGTTTATTATCATTCCGTTATTTAATAGTTTTTATGGCGGTTTAAGGGTTAAATTATGCAAATTAGCTTATTTTCGTTTGAAATATTTTTTTCTGCATTACTGATGTCATTCTATAAATAATGGTGAAAAAATTAAGTTTGTATCTCATTTACTTCCAAAGTTATGAATTAAAGTTTATTTTCTTCTGACCCCCCTGAAATTATAGGGTGAGGGGTATAAAGATGAGGATATCTTATTTTCGCAAGCCTCAAACTCTAGATATCACCCCACATCATAAAATTAATATATTTTCCAACAAGAAAATGAAAAAATCTCGCGTAATACTCTCCAATATTCAAAAACAAAAATGTTCAGGCTGGGTCCCTAAGTATATGTCTTTATTAGGTGCATCAACAGGGAATAGAGCCAAAAACTAAACTATAACACTCCCTTACCTTAACAAGAGATGGGATTCCTTTCCAGAACTCCACGTTGGGCACCATAGCAGTTCCTGTAGCCCCCCTTCTGTGCATCACGGCCATGCCGACTATGAAATATGTAGGCACAATCACTGCAAGTCTGCAATTGCACAAATCATGTACATGTATTATTAGTTATTACCCTACTATCACACCAAACTGGTTCTCACTACGTTCTCGAAAACGGGCTTAAACTGTGCACGAACGGATTTGACGTACTACGAACCCACTAAGAACCGTTTGGGATCTGTTTACAAACTTCATGAAACTACTAGAACGAGTAGGTCCTCCAGCACTTAGAGCATGCTCAAAATTTTCTGTGATCGTCAAAACGTTGCCGAATCGGTTTTAAACTGTGTGCGAACTGAATGAACGTAGCTAAAACGTTCTACGGTCTGTTTACGAACTTCATGGACTTTCCCGGACGGGGTATGTGATTTAGAATTTAGAATGATTCAAAATTCGATGGCGACCATACCGTTTTGTAATGATGACCTTCTAGACTAAGGCCCGTTTTACGACATTTTCGTAGGACTGACAAGAACGGGTAAGAACTAGTTTGGTGTGATAGGGGGGTTAAATAATGGCAAGACACACTATTACTACTGGGTGTAATCCCGTTCAATCCTCTAGTCAGTTGAGACTAACTTGCCTGTTGTATAAAGAAATTCAAGTAGAGCTGCCCAAAACTCAAAGACATATTTGGATGTCTTTGCATCAGTGTATATTAAAGACTAAAGTGTTCCTTCGAGGAGGGGTTCTTGAGTCTCTCTTGGTTTCATGAATAAAATGATGACAATACAAAGAAGCCTATATACCCAAGGGGTATTTTCTTATTTGTTTACAATAAAGGTGCTATCTAAAGCTTAGTACAAAGAACTTATATTATCTATAATTTAATACATAACATACAATGAGTAATCAATATATGCACTTTTATTCTGTCTATGTAATGCCAATAGAGACTAAAATACATGTTCCCTCTATATTGCAGTTTGAAGGCTTATTACAAGATGCAATGATTCAGTCCCTCTTGAGAACATTAAAGAAACATACACAGTAAAACCTATATATCCAAAACACCTCTCCAATCTGAGTACCTCTCAATGTGAACACCTTTTTACTATAATTGTCAAGCATTAACTGGCCTTACATTTTTTTCTTCAGCTGATGAAACCCTTAAGCTTGATCACAATGGAGGCATAGAGCCTGAGTCACTTTTTTCAACAGGTACCAGTAAGCAGTACAACCAGTATATAACAAGGCATTAACATGCAAAATGTCACACCCTACCATTACATACACTGACTGTCAAATGCTGTTACAGATGCCAAACGCTGTTAAAGATTCCAAACACCAACATCCGAACATTGGCCAAAAAAAGTTGGAGACTATACTATGTCATCACTTCTGGAGGTATAATAAAAATAACATTGCAACTTGTTTATAATTGCACCAGTAGGTCTAAATCCTTATACTGCAACATACCTTCATTTTACCACTTAGACCAGACATGTAGTTCTTGATATACAGAGCAAAGAAATGTTCCCTCCCTATTTACGCTTAGTTATTATTTTAAAACTTACGCTATACATAGGATTGTCCCTATACTGATCCCTAGTAGTTGCTGTCCTGCCGGGGGTGATGTTACAGGTGGTGCTTGCTGGGGACAACAATACTTGCTGGTTACAGAGATCATCTACAAGAAATAAGGTACATGAAACATCTTGTTAATTGAGTCAATAAAAGTTTACAATAATGATGATAATAGGCCCATTGCTTGCTAAAAACATGAAAAACTCAATTTTGATCTTATGACTATTGATCTGGCAGCAAGTCTATGTGGGGATGGAATCTACTTAATATGCATAAATCTAAGTTATGAAAATATTTCAACTACTCAGTAATCATCAAGTACATACACTGTACATACCAATATGGTTGTAGGGCCAGACCTGGAAATTGACAAAGGCAGCGAGCACAGATTTATTTTTGTTTTCCTTTTTGAGTGCCCATTTTGAAAAATAAGGTTAATTTATAGGCCGAAATTGAAACACAGGGCTAAGTGGTTTATACCATAGATACCCAATTATATGAATCACTTATTTTAAAATTACTGCATTAACAACTCACATAGTTGCGGGATTTTGTCTCGCCTTGTACATCATATGTAGGGCTATCAGCTGTAGGATCACACAGCAGCTGTATATGAGCTGTCCTGGAACAGATAGAATATACACACACATAGAATGTTTTTTTATTCTACAATTGCAAATGTTTATAGCTCAAAGCAACATTCATTTTAGACACGCTAACCAGAATTTTTCACTTTTTTTTATATGACTTTATTTCATTCAGTGTTACAATTAATTTACATTGTATCCTTGTTTGTTTTGTTGCTATACAATATATTACTACTTCCTACATTTTTACTTATATTATGAATTGGCCTAAGTTAACTCCTAAACCAGCCATCCATTCCCAGCCACCCAACGACAAGTCCAACAAACAGTGACAAACTGTGCATGACAAGACACACAACTCCCCTAATAGTGTTGTACCAGCTAGCACTGTATGTTAATTCTAGACCTAGATCAGTGACAAACTGTGCATGACAAGACACACAACTCACCTAATAGTGTTGTACCAGCTAGCACTGTATGTTATTTCTAGACCTAGATCAGGATCAGTGACAAATTGTGCATGACAAGACACACAACTCACCTAATAGTGTTGAACCAGCTAGCACTGTATGTTAATTCTAGACCTAGATCAGGATCAGTGACAAACTGTGCATGACAAGACACACAACTCACCTAATAGTGTCGTACCAGCTAGCACTGTATGTTATTTCTAGACCTAGATCAGGATCACTGACAAACTGTGCATGACAGGACACACAACTCACCTAATAGTGTTGTACCAGCTAGCACTGTATGTTAATTCTAGACCTAGATCAGTGATAAACTGTGCATGACAAGACACACAACTCACCTAATAGTGTCGTACCAGCTAGCACTGTATGTTATTTCTAGACCTAGATCAGGGTCAGTGACAAACTGTGCATGACAAGACACACAACTCACCTAATAGTGTCGTACCAGCTAGCACTGTATGTTATTTCTAGACCTAGATCAGGGTCAGTGACAAACTGTGCATGACAAGACACACAACTCACCTAATAGTGTCGTACCAGCTAGCACTGTATGTTATTTCTAGACCTAGATCAGGATCAGTGACAAACTGTGCATCATCCTGGGTGCCTAGAGGGATGTGATCATGGTTGTCCTGTTGGCAGCTCTGAAACAAACATGGACAATCAGTCAAGGGGACAAGGGGGACAAGACCCTCTGCCTGGTGCTACATTATACAGGAGGTTTCTACATTGTATCTTTAAGCCACTAGGGGTGGGTAGACTACACTTAATGTACCTTGATACTCTAATGTATTTAGAGTACTATTGTGTCGGGACAGGGGTCCATTTCTCTAATTGTTTTTTAGGTTAAGCAAAATAAACAATACTCCTATTCACGATAAGAGTTCAGGTGCTAATTTACATAAATATCTCCCATGATGCATCGCTTTGGAAGGGACAAATTTTCATTGGCCCGCCGAACGAGTCGATTACTCTGAACGTTTCTCAGCTTCTGATCTTCCATCAGCCCTCAAGCATAGTTATATAATCCATTCTATTCAATAATCAGAAAGATAATCGGAGATTCAAAGTAACCTTATTTATATTTTTTCTATCTTCGATGGCGTCTGAGCAATTTCTTGGATATCAGTGACGTCACTTGAATTGGACGGCATTTTCAACTACAGATTTCTTCGGATTTGGGGATAATAGTTCAAAAAGCTTTGTCATATATCTTAATTGCATACATACCTATCGTTTGTGCAAATGAAACTCTACATAAATGTTTAATAGAGTCGCAGTGCGGCATCGAAAATAGCACCCCTGTGTAATCCAATGGGAAAGAACCCGGATGTAGACGAAGTTGTACCATACATGAGAGCTCTTCAAACGGGAAGTAGCTAAACTGAACGAAATTAAACGTTATCGCGTATTGGTATATTGGCTTGTGAATGTGTAACTTTACAACATGTACAATGTTCAGACAAATTGACCCATTGACATTTCAAAACATAATTTGCTTAGATTGGATTAAGGTGTCAAAGGGGCAATCTAGTGCAAAAATGACATATTATCTCGGCACTTATATGTATATCTCAGGGCAAGTGCTTGTAAGAAGAAATCGTGTCCCTCTATGTAGCGAAGAGGTAAATGCATACCATATAGAAGACAAAACTTTTCTATGTTACCACTTCTGTTGCTCCTCAAATCACTAACAAGTACAGGGTGATACTTTTTCTATTTTACCACTTAATGTTTCTCCTCAAATCACAAGTACAGGGTGTTATACAGTGGCATAGCCAGGATTTGGTGACCGGGGGTTCTATTTTTTATGTTATTCACAACCCCCCCCCCTTCATTAGGGTTCCTCAAATAAAAACATGTTTGCGTAATTTGTACAATTTACACTCCCTCCAAAAGTTTGGCAATCCGAACTAACCCATTGGATTTTGTGTTAAAGCATCTTTAAGTTGGAATTCTTATTTGCATAATTTGTAAAGAAAAAAAAACATTATGGGAGTGAAAATTTAAATTGACATCATTTTAATACTTTCATAAGTTAAGTAGACAATTGAATTTGAATTTTATATAACAAAAAATGATGATAATGAAAGTAATTGACTTTATCAAGAAACCTCTCTCATCGAAATAACACAGGACGTAAAAATGATTTTCAAAAATGACCTTGTAGCTTTGTAACTTTAATGTCTACAAATTAAAAAAAACGCAGCGTGCAAAAGGGTTAGACAACTCAATTTTCTGCATCAAAATACTTTTCAGTGAATCTATTACTGAATATCTATCCTGAAATCTGATTTGTCCCGAATCCACGTATATTTCGTCTAATTTTAGGAAGATAGACCCTTGAGCGTGATTTTTTACCAACGAATATAAACTATTTCGCACAATTTATTCTTTAACTTAAAAGCTACTTCATCTAGGACAAAATAAGTCACCCATGTTGCAGGAATATTGTTGGAAGCCAGTTTGGACCAAATGCAAGGCCATGAAAGGTCATTGAAAATGGCGCAGACACCCTATACTCCGAAAGATCGTTCTTCTATGATAATTTTTCACAACGTTTACATGAAGGCTTTTTTAACTATCTGGGATATTCGTATTACTGATGGAAACAACTGTTATTCAAATAAATGGGTCTCGGTTATGCTTGGTTTAAAAAATTTTAAAAAAATTCTTTGTACGCCCCCGGATCTGGTAAGTCCCCCGGAGCAGATCAACTGCAATTGATAATAAAAACGTTTTGATGTATATAAATCATTTATGAATGAAAGCGACTGTTCGAATATGAAACATATTTTGTTAAGAAGTTCAGACGGCTTGATAACAAATTAGGCCTACGTTATTTGAAATATTAATACCATATATGATTTTTCAATGTTTTTTATTAACTTATTTGCTAAACATATCATGATGATATGATCCACACCAACGTTTGATATTCATGAAAATGGACAGCATGTACACTGAAACAATAACAATTTATCTAAACAATCTCTAAGATGAGTGGAGTGTATCTGAAAAAAAAAACTATTTTTTTGCAATGGATTGATTTTTCCAAAGTGATGGATAGTAAAACTCGTTTGAACAAATGCTTGTGTTTATAAGCGATATACATGTATGCTTTTAAATAACTAATTTCACAACGTTTTTATTATTTAACGCAATTGATTTGGTTTGGGGGACTTGCCAGCCCCGGGGACGTCCAAAGAAATATTTTAAATTTTAATTGAAATAAAACAAAACAGAGATGTACACATTTGAAAGAACATGTGTTTTACCTATATTACGACTATTCCAGATATTTGTTCGTGTAAATGTTGTAAAAATATTTCGGAGTATGGGACTTGTGCATTGTTTTCAATAACTTTCAATAACTTCGTATTGGACCAGAGCTGGCTTACAACAAAATTCCTTCAAAAGACTGATTTAGCCATTCCGCAAGAGAAGAGGCAGCTTTTAAGTTAGTTGAGCGAAATTATTTTTTATTTCTAAATGTAAAATCTCATGCTCTTGGGTCTTCCTAAAATTAAATGATCTCACCCAGTGCCTAAGGTTGCCAGACTTTTTGAGAGAAGTGTAACTTAACTTTGATATGTTTTTAACAAAATAAGGCTCTCGTGTTCACCATAACAAATATCAATTCATTCACTGGTCATATATGTAGTTTTCAAATAGCAGTTTGTAATTTAATGTAGCTGGTTATTGCTATGAATTTTCCGCAAAATAATATTTTGGGAAATCCTGACCGGGGGTTCGTTCGAACCCACCGAACCCCCGCTGCCTACGGCTATGTTATACTTACTGCTACATCAGTGCAGTTCCCCATTGAGAACCCAGAACAAGGATTCCAGGAATAGTGGTTCTTGTTATTGGGATCATACTGTTCTTTAAGCCTACAAAGACAGGTTATAAAACTTCCATGAATGTGATGGTATGAGTCTCTAAACCAACTCTCATAATGCGTATCAAAAATCTCGTTTAAAAAATGAGTTATACAATAATTTTCATATACATGTACTATGTAGCTTAGTTATTTCAATGAGGCAAATTTGGGAAGACTAAATAAGAGTGAGAGTGCTTTGCCTCAGACCTAAAACCCTAAGCATCCAGTTTAAGTGGGACACTAAGGCAAAGTTGCAAATTGAACAATTTTTTGAAAAAATGTTCATGCCTGCTTATACAATTCTTATTTTTGCAGTTCTGCCCAAGTAGGTCCAAAAATGCCAATTTTTCATTATTTTTTCAATTTTCAAGAAGGTGCAAAAAGGGTATGCTTAACTCTTAGCAGTCTGCCTACGGTTTATCTCGCAAAATCAGACATTCCCTGGGATCTGCCGACGAGATAACTCGCATTTTAGGTACTTGGGGTTATGCTAAAGTTCATTTGGAAACAAAACATATATCTTGTGTTGATAATACATACCCAACACTTGATGACCAGATCAAAAATAGATTGTTTTGTAGCCTAAAATTAATAATTTAATGGATACTATGGTCAAATTGTCCATTTGCTCAGACCAGGGCAGCAAATACTGGGATTTAGTTTAGACCGCTAAGAGTTAATTTAAACTCTCAAGTTGAACCAGTGAATGGTTGCTTCAATACAGACGAAATCCTCCCTATAAATATCTTACTTACGCAGGGTTTGATGGATCTTTGGTATCTAATGGTGACAGGTCTATTATTCCATCATCCGTCTGACAAGCACATGATGAGATCTTACTTGTACATACGATATTCTGAGGATCAACACTTTCATTTATATCAAACATTAAACCAGCTAAGCTTAGTACAATATAAGAAAGATAGATGGCTCTCATTGTTGTTGCTTTAGAGTTCACCATATGAAGAATAATTCATAAAATAGCAAATAAGTTTATAGCATCCAATATACAATCCTTCCTTAGTTCATTCTATTTCATCAGTTGATCCACATCAATTAGATAGGCCTAATTGAAAAGATAATAAAGACCTTTGTATATACTAAAACAAATCATACTCTAGAAAGCCACTGTCACATGTCTAATAATAAAAACAAAGAGATATGTCGAATATATATACAAAAGTGCATCTTTATCTTTCAAAATGTGTCAATGGCATCTTCTAGATAAGAAGACATAATGCTACATTACAGATGGCCTCCATCAATACAGTGTTGTTTTCAAGTTCAATCTAACATTCCAAAATATCTCTGTTATAGTTTTATGTAGGTTAACCAAAGGATCAAACTCATATAACATACCCTCAGACCCTCTTTGTTAAAGCTGACATATATAATGTTATGTCACCTGAATTAATTTCAATGTTATTGTTACCCTTGCAAAGAGAAAAACAAGGCACTTAACATTTGAAATGTCACCACCTGCCATTTGTTATATAAGTCAACTGCCAACCACCAAACACCAACCACCATCCACTATAACAATATGTCACCTCTTCTGGTGGGGACATAAAAATCATATTTTAATTCAGCCCCTTAACTGAGATAAGGTGTTTTAGTTCAGCAGATATTATCATTTCAACAAACTGACATTTATCACTTCTTATCTTTCTATTTATTTCATTTTCAAACATTTGATCAGTTTTTACTTTGATCATGCAAGTCCAGACCTGTTATTAATGGACCTGGCCATCAGGTTTATCCATAATTCCATATGATAAAAAAATGAGTCCTATTATGAATGTACCTAGTGGTCAGCTTTATCCATGTATGATAAAAGTCCAATCCTATTTTGAACAGACCCGGTGATCAGCTTTATCCATGTATGATAAAAGTTCAATCCTATTATGAATGGGCCTGGTGGTAAGCTTTATCCATGTATGATAAAAGTTCTAGGGCTATCCTATTTTGAATAGACTCGGTCATCATCTTTATCCATGTATGATAAAAGTTCAATCCTATTGTTAATGGACCTGGTGGTAAGCTTTATCCATGTATGATAAAAGTTCAATCCTGTTATGAATGTACCTGACTGTAAGCTTTATCCATGTATGATGAATGTTGTTCAGTTATAATCAAATATGAGTATGATTGTGCATGTGTGCCTGTAACTGGGAGCATTGCTCCACTAAGTCAAAGATTAGAGACACACTAGGGAACATATTCAAATCTATGCACCATAAAATCATGTTATAAATATGTAGTAAATTGTTTTTAAGAATTCCTAATAAATTACTTCCTCCACAGCAATTTTTCATCACCGCACCCATGGATTAATTCTATTTTTTCGCATTAGGAATTCAATTTTGTTTTGCATGTCAGAGTCATATATTCGTTTCACACGCTCATAGCTGACCCGACGTCTCGCCATGAATGGTTTCTCATGAAAAACTTGTCGTCTAGCAACCTCTAGAATTTTATCATTGCGAAGAATCCTGAAAGTATACAAAGGTCATGGGTATTACATGGAGTAGGGCTGACAATGGAAGGAAAGGCATATACAGCCACTTTTTACCATATTACATGATAAAAACTATGATTGCTCACTGTCTTTTCTTAAAACATTCAAAATGAAGCCTGTGATAAAGAGCTGGAACTGAAATAAATAAACCTTTTAACTGTAATTTTTTTTTCATTTTTTCTTTCTCTTGGAAGGTATTCAAATTTTCCACACTTATGTCATTTAAGCAATACATTGGGCACATTTCAGTGTTCTCCACAGGGTTTTTCCTAAAGTAGGTGCAAAGTTCTCATTTTCACAATTTAGATCAAAATTGGTCAAAATATCCCATATTCTCATTTTCAAGTGGGTGCAAATAGATTTTCAGGTAGGTGCAAGCCTGTTCTGAAAGCTCAAGTAGGTGCTGCACCCACTTGATTTCATGCATTTTTTGAAAAATTCAGAATATTCAGTTCATTGACTTTTCTAAAAGGTTAACTTTTAACTATTTCTCAGTCACAATTTCAGAGGGATGATGTTGAGGGTCATTTTGACCATGACCATAGTGATCCTGGTTATGTAAATGATATATGGGAGTAGTAAAACTGACTGAGGGTCAAAGCAGAACTCTTTTATCTACAGTAGTTAAAAAATCCTCAGGCTTTTTTCATTTCCTGTTTGTAAATTTCAGATAACTATCTCGAGACCAAGAGGAGGAAAAGTCCCAGAGCTTTGATATTAATTTCCATGCTAGAAATTAATATAATAATTTTAGAAGATGTTTAGAAAATCTGCCCGAGACCTTAAAATTGGTTTTGAAAATTTTATACTACTATCTAAAACTGGTGAAAAATTTCAATAGTCAATTGCTGAATGTACATTCTGACTTTCAACCTAAGAGGAGAGAAAGTCTCAAAGCTCTATAGCTTACCACTTTCACCATAGATTATATCCTATTTAGTCTGAATATATTCAGACTAAATAGGACTTCTAGTCAGTCTGTTGGATACATACAAACTTTCACTAGCCTTTCCTAATGGCCATGATGATATCATGGCCATTACACATACCTATATTTATAATGACGCAGCAGCAAACTGCGATAAACTATGCACCTACCCTAATTTTGAATGCTCCGAAATCACCCTGCTACGTTTTTAGTGAAGTAATTTGGTATTTCATGAGTAATTAGGAGATTTTTGTCAAAAATTTGGAACTAATTTTGAAAATTAAAATCCTCTTTATGCGCATGCACATGTCAAACTAATCGCGTATTTAACTAATCGAAATCATTATTTCAATACTAGTTTAATAACATAAACGGACAATTATATGAATATATATAACTTATATGAATATATGAAAATAATATGATATCTCGCTACACGTTTAGTAGCTTTAGCGAAATCTTATTATAATAATTTCGTTTCTTGGTGTTATATAGATTTGCATAACGACCAGAGGAACCATAATTTCTAAGTTGAAATTGCTTGGACATCATGCTTATAGAACAAAGGATTTACGATAATTAAGAACTCAAGAATTACAATTTCAACTGTATAAATGAGACAGGAAAGAAGTGGGCTGGTCAAATAAAGGGTAGGTCTCCAACTAACATCATAATTTGAACATTTATGAGTGCAGAATTCTGCGACAATCTATTCAATGGTATGCGAGATGTCCCTAGAAGGACTAGGGACATCTTGAAGTCTAACTTTCACTAGTCTATATCCAATAGACTGAACTTCCTGAGAATTCAGTCTATTGATCATTATGTCTCTCCTGTGGGAAAAAACAGGAAATTTCCAGCACACAATTATCAATTTTAGGAAACTTCACTTCCAAAAAATAAGCATTATAAAAATTCAATTAAGTAGTAAGGTACAATTAAATGCTATAAAAAGTAACACAGCATATTGTCAAATGGAAATAAAGCTAGGAGAAGTAACAAATATGCAAATTAATTTACCCAATCGGCCATTTTGAATGGCACTTCCTATGTAAACAAATCATTTTCAATCCCATGTTTTAACATATGTGGGCTATAGTCTGAATATTTTCATGCCAAATTTCAAAAAAAATTCAGACTAGAGGATATAGTCTAAACTTTCACCAGCTAGTTGCCAAATAATACACTTCGATTTGATGTTTTAATTGATGTAGACATATTCCGTACACCTTTCTTTATCTTGATATGAAACCATGCTATGATATAGGTTGACACGCCAGATATGAACATAATTTCCAAAGCGTATTTCGAAAATTTTGAGGCCGCCATTGTTTGTCCAGTTTGACCAATCAGAGACATTCATCTCAATAGAGGTTTACATTATAAGCGTAACTCATCTCTGAACTCTGGGGTTAATTCCCCCTCTTCACTGTTTCAACCAGAACCAAAATAATTTAATAATTTTCTGAAGAAAATATAAATTGACCGTAGAAATTACGTTGTTATGAAAACCATATAACGCCGATGTATATTTTAGTTGAATATTCATAACAAACTGAACAGGTCTCACCTATCTAGTGCTCTATAAGCTTGGTCTATATCATTATTTCGAACTAAAACTGTCCGTGCAAAAAATTTCATGTGATTCGCCATTTTGTTTTAGAAAGACTTCCGGTGTGAACGCCTGCCATGATTCACGAAGTGAAGCAGTCTAAGACTAAAATGAACTGAAGTTTCGTTTTGATTCAACAAGATTGTTTATCAAAGGGGTTGTATACAGAAAACAAGGCATTAACTTGACAAATGTCACTTCCTAGTTGCTCGTATTGGTCAATTTAAAGCAAGTTGAAAAATACCTTTTTTACCTTGAGATGGTCATTCAGAAGGCAAGGGCATTTTGAAGGTCGAGTCTAAAAATCAGATTGAATTTCTGAGATCTTGTAGATGATTTTGAAAAAAGAAATTGGTCAATTTGAAGCAAGTAGAAAAAAGACCCGTTTGGCCTTTTTTGACCTTGAGAAGGTCATTGACGGTCAAACCTCAAATCTAATTGTCAGATCAAGGGCTTTCAATTCTAGTTGAAAGCCCATGGTCAGCTTTGAAATTCTGAGAACTTGTAGCCCTGCCCAGTTCGGTATTTTTACTGATCTGATCTTGAATTAGAAATAAGTAAAAGAGACCGACTTGGGCTAAGAACGTGTAGATGGTTGAGAAAAAATGATGAATTTGAAGCTACTTGAAAAATACATTTTCGACCTTGAGAGGGTCATTGATGGTCAAATCTCTTCAAAAGTCAGATTTGAAATTCTGAGAACTTGTAGATGATTTTGAGAAAAACTGGTCAATTTGAAACAAGTTGAAAAATACCTTTTTGACATTCTGAAGGTCATTGAAAGTCAAATCTAACGGTCAGATTTTAACTTCTAAGAATTTGTTGATGATGTTAAAAAAATTGAAGTCAGTCTAAATAGTATTTGAGTGGAAGTTATAGGAAGTTTTTAGAATTTGTTACAGCCTAAGGACGCCATTCACCAACCGCCAACCACCGCCCACCGTCACAAAAACGGAGACAATAACAATATGTTACCGGATTTTCTCGCATATGACGCCCCCCTAAATTTAGGCCCATGGGTCAAAAATCGAATGTAGTACGCTTATACGCCCATGGGCCTATAAAAATGACTATTTATTGATTTTTTCAATAAATTCAAGAGTATTGTCACTGGCAGATCGTTCTCAGTGTCGTTCAACGCTGTGCCGTAAGTGGCAGTGGTGGATCGTTCTGTTGTTACTTTGTTTCACCATTTAGTCCAAGGTTGTAGGTGACATTTCCATTATAATTCTTACAAAACATGCGGTAAGACTACAACAGTAGGTACGGTAGTCTTTGAGGAATCATTGTATTCATCAGCTCTTCTCATCTTTACGCCCACTGGGCCAAAAATCGAAAGTAGTACACTTATACGCTCATGGGCGAAAAATAAGAGGTAAAATAACAGACGGAATTACCCCTTCTTTCAGTTATACGCCCAGGGCTTATGTGCGAGAAAATCCGGTACCACTCTTGATATTGACATAAAAAATATCAAAAACGAAAACAATGTGTTTGGAAGAGGAGGTTACCTCAAACAAAGTGATAAATGACATTTTAACAATGAAAGAGAAGAAACAATCAATGGTTACAATTACAAATTACTCGAGTCCCAAGCCAATTGCAAAATTACTTCTCATTTGTGGCCGAAGAATAAGCTCAGTTACAAATATCTAAGTATCATGTTTATACCAAAATTAAGGTGTTCATGTATTTATGCTGAAGTATTAGAAATGTTCAACTAGTACAGGGTGGGCCAAAAAACGCCAATTTTTTTCAAAATGCTATTACTTTTTTAATTTTTGATACAAAATCATAATTTGCATACCAAATGAAACTTGAGGTTGTTATCTCGCCATGGATCATAAATTATACACTTTTACTTGAATAAAATATGTCACCAGCGTCTCACTTAAACATGTGGTGTGCCATGAGAAATAAGCATAATTTGCAAAATGTTCCTGAACTGATACCAGGGGCGTAGGAAGGTGTAAATTCAACACTACACCAAAAATATGAAAAAATTGTGTCAAATCTTTAATATCAAAACGCCTATTTTATGCTCGTAAAACGTGATTTTTAGTAATACCTTTCTAATGTGCTTAAGATGTTCGAATGTTTTTCATCATATAAAATCACCGTGGAAAGCCGATCTTTTAAATCTCGACAATACAGATTAAAGAAAATAGTATGATCAATAGAAACATGTCCGTGATCAATGATACAACAAACTCTAACCTTTTTATGACACTAATTCGCAAACCCCCCTCAACAAAGGTCAACGTGACATTTTGTGGTAAATTGTTAATTTCCTTTCAAAAGAATTAAATGTGCCTAAATAGTTTATTTCCTAAAATAATAATCTATTATCTTTCAAATGAAATAGAAATTAGGGTAATTGCTTCCCTAGAACTGAAGTTATGTACTTTCGAAGTTAGCAGGCATCACGAAAACTCATTGAAATCAGTGGAACGCGTAACAAGTTCAAGTTCAACTTGTTTTTGTCTTTAACATTCATATTTCAAGAAGTACTACAAATAACAATAACAACTAGTGATTTAGTAAGATAATAGATATATAATTATTGTTTCCATATAAATTCGGTCCTTGATTTTTGCTAGCAACCACATAGCAACGGAATATAAATTGAATTGGTGAAATTGAAAAATCGGGGGTAGGGGGAAAAAAACAAAACATCTTATATTGGGAGAGGTTTATGATTATAATTCTGGTACCACAGTTTACATAGTGCTGCAGATGATGTATCTCTGGAGTTTACTTAGGTTTAATAATATTTACAGGGATCTAACTATAACAAGGTTAGTAAAGATGTTTCATGTCACTTATGACAACCATGCCGATATTTTCTCTCCTATCCGGCGCATTTTCCTTAAGACCAAAATGCTAGGAATTGAAAATCTGGTTAAAAATGCGCTGGACTCTGGATATCTTCCGTCGAAGAGGTCATGGAGACTGCAAATTGTCAATGCTGTAAGATCCGTCGAGGTCAAGCAATTTTTCTTGCAATGCTCATGTTATGGCAAACTTTTATACCTACGTGACTATGCCACAGACTTAAAACCTTGCATATGGTGGTTGATTTGTCAGAAATATCCCAAATGTCAAAGCCAGTGTAAAACTATGATGCAATTGATATGTAACGCCCATGTATTAAATACAAACAACTTCAATGGTTCAAAACGATACATATATTGTGTAACCTCTGTGAAACTGAAACAATTGAACATTTTATATTAAGATGCCCTATGTATGAACCATATAGGCATAACATATTTGAAGCCCTTGGCTGTCGTGGTGACAGTATGGATGTTATTATGAAGAAAGTTTTAGGTCTCTCAGATGTTTCATGTGAGATGTTAATAATTGTATCATCATGTGTACACAAAATGTACAATCACAGAGCCAACCTGTTGGCTCTGCTTGACACATAATTTCTCTATCACTTTATTTTTATGTTTCCCATAACAACTTTTTTATCACATAATTTAATCTTATCCTTGTATTTTATATTTTATATGTAAACCATATGTATACTAAAATGTATTCTCTCATATAAATGAGGCAATACAATAAGCATTACGGAACATGCACAAAAATTTACTAAAATCGATTTTCATGAAATAAAGCATGTTGGAAAGAGAATTCAATCTGTTAAATAAGTACTATCTACCAAACACATAATGATTAAAATGCATTTTCTACACTATTAGAAACAATGTGACTATCAATATTTTACGAATTTCATTTTTATTGGCTTAAACCAGTGGTGTAGGAACAATGTACGCCAAAACGCCAATGCGTAGTGTTGAAAAGCTAGAATAAAGAAGTTTATTAATTTCCCTATGTTCTTTAGTCATATTTCCTCATTGTTAATAAATTGCCAAGTTTGTGATCTCGAGTACACTAAAGACATGTTTTTTGGACACCATTATGTTCCATATTTTCAATAGTACTCTTTGCAAGTTTTTTGTGACTCTGTTATTTTCTAGCTTCGGCCACAGATAAATGGCACTTTTTGGCGTAAGAATCAAGGTGATTGGGGGTAGAGGGGCAAAGCTATGACAGTCGGATGTTTAAGCCAATAAAAATGAAATTCGTAAAATATTGATAGTCACATTGTTTCTAATAGTTTAGAAAATGCATTTTAATCATTATGTGTTTGGTAGATACTACTACTGTAGGGCTTGAATTCTCCGGAGGCTAAAATTGGCTTGATATCGTGTGACTTTTACCATTCAGAAATTCTTTGTGTAGGCTAGTGTACTGATTAACACTGTCATTCAAACTGAAGATGAAAAGAAACCATAGAGAACCATAAAGAAACCGCGTGTCTTCTTTCCGCCACTTGCACACCTCAAGGCCCCGTCACACCGTACGGCCCACGATCACTATCCGTGAAACCGGGAATTATTTTCAAAACATAAAAGTGCGCGCGCATAGCAGGAAGTTCAGTTCCAATATGGCGTCCTCATCTTTTACAAGTTTTTTCGCCCGAGACAAGGTTTGTTGACATTTTATGTATTTACATTTTACTAAAGGTTACCAAATCAACGCGTAGGGTTGAAGAGTCATACATGTTTTACCTGATATCAGATTTTAGTTCGTGAAACGTTCAATATATGTTAGAAGTGAAGGCAAACTTCAATATTTTTTTGGTCTTTTATGATTTCTTGTGACAAATGACATCATGAGTCACCAGCTCAGAACCTGTCGTACTCGTAGCAGCTATGCTAAGGTTATGAAAATCCATACAAAATATTCCTTTAAACTAGTGGTATGTATATTTGACTTTTTGATCTTCAGATTCACAGGCCTCAAATTAGGCCTCAATCTCTAGAATGACATTTCCGCATGTCCGTCTTTGTGTCTGTTCGTCCTAGTGTCCTGGATTGAAATTAAACAATAAGCGAAACAAAATTGTTGTCAAATAGATCTTATTGTTATCGCAATTTATCCCGTTCCCGGACTATGGTCCTGTGAACATCTCAATCTTTTGCCTGTGCGATTACAACATGGGAGAATTTTTTACTCATCTTACACTTCTGATACCTACTTCAATAGATTCCTTGGTAATTTAGCATTCTTTTCGTGTAGTTGAATCCACAATTGTCTGGGTTTATCGGCAGAACGAAGACATTTTCGTTTTTGATCGCAATATTTGCGTGTAACATTTAACTTATTTCAACCGTCAAATTCCTCCATATTGGTACTTCCGGGCTACATCCGGGACTGCCAAACGGGGGATTCCCCTTTTAAATCCAACCGCCATTTTGAAAAGTGATGGAATCTCTCTCGATGAAAAAGAGAAATGTTCCTGTTCTGCCGATATACCCAGACAATCGGCGGTTCCAATATATTAGAAGTTACATCTTGAGTTCTATAATGCATTGAGGTAGGTATCTTAAGTGTAAGGGGCGTAGATAATTCTCCCAAGTTGTAATCGTACAGGCAAATGAATGCGTTCAGTGCAGGACTATAGTCCGGGAACGGGATAAATCGCAATTACTTGGGGTAAAAAGATCAATTTTGAGGATAATGGGTATCTTTGATTGTTTTATGTAGACTAGCGCGTGTATACACGCAAAATAGTTATTATTAATTGCAAGCCTACTGTTTGTTAATGCAGTGCCGCAAAGATGGTAAATTTCTGATCGATTTGCAATGCTACCAGGACTGACCGACATTTTGGTCATAAATATTTTCGTAATTATGCATCAGTAGGGTCTAAGGGGGATATGGGATGGTGTATATATATTCATAAGGTATGTATGCATGCTTGAATCACATTCTTTATGTAATATTACCATGTTTTCAGAGGTTAATTAGTTTTGCTTGTCGAAACCTGCGGAACGATTAAATTAACACATCAAAGGCAAAATGAGGTTGGACCTAGCTGGGGCCATAAGACATTTCAGATAAGAAACGAGGCCCAGGTTAGGTCTAATGTTGTTGGACTAGCCTCAAACCAACACAATGATTGTGACAATCATCATCATCATCTTAATTTGTTCAACCTGTTGCTAGCCTGGAATAACAGTTATGGGAAGTTTCCCATATATATAGGATACTCAAAGTTAAGCATCTTGAATCAGAAAATCTTGCCTTATCTTTATGTTTTAGTCATACCAGGAGAATCGTGTAAATATAACAAGGCAAACATTTTTTTATTTACCCTATTTTTTCTTTTTTTTCAAACTTCTTTCCACACTTGGTGTAACCTATCTAGATAAAGGGGAGAGGGCTTCTGTTCACTTTGCCTAGAATGGATGCATACAGGCTTCTTTCCAGGGATAAAAGTGAAATGGAACACCCTATCTCGTGATATTTGAAACAGTGGCAGTTTACCAGTTTAAAGTCAGCAAGCAGCGGGAAATTACCGAAACATATGAGAATAAAGAACTATATGAATAAAGTGGTCAGGTCCCTCAAGGCCCCTCAACTCAGTCTTTATTGCCCCTTAAGTAACACTGCAAGGTCTTAACTGCATGGGTGTAGTATGGTAAAATCTTATTTAATTTGAAATTCATAGATTCATTGAAATACATAATTTATTATATCAAACTTTTACAAATTATTTGGGGTTTAAATTGAATCAATTCAAAATATCATATACTTTATAGCTGACATTATTGACAGCTGTATTATTTTTTGGTAAAACACCTTATTTGGATATTTTAGTAGACTTTAAAATTATTCCCCATCATCCATGTGATCCTATGTTAAGTACAAGTTCAGCTACTAAATGCTATCAATTTTGAGATGTGCTGCCAATGAGTTCACTTGAATTATTTATGGCTGCATCAATATATTGAATGTATGCAATTGGATTACTATCGGCAATCTTTGTGAGTGGATCTCATTTGAAAACTGATAGTATAGTTCAATAGAGAATAGTTCACATTTATCAATCCACCTTGTTAGTTAAATATTCTTGAAACTCTAGAAACAGTTTGAGAGCTCATATAAATGTATATGTATTACTACTGTTTAACTGTAAGATCTACTTTGCTTGTCTAATTTATTTGCCACAAGAGTCAGAGTATGTGCTCTTTTGGTTTTGACTATTTGCTTCAAAAACCAATATAATATGTTTTAAATATGTTACTACAGGGATTGTTATAATGTTAGTCTTGTAACAAGCCCTTGTGTGTCCTGACTATCATACACAAGAAAGGGAATAGATCAATGGAGATAATAAGAGAGTTGATGCAAGATGATCGTAATCAGCTAAATTAAATCACTCAATGACCATTTGATTACGGTGAAACCCTTATCAGTCACACTAGGAATATTTGGATGGACAGATCGAAACATTTTTTTTTTTTTTAGACGATTGAAAAATTGAATTCTGTGTGGATTCTGAACAAAATAAGTTCTACATTCAAGCATCTGGTCCTGGTCAATCCACCAACGATTTTCGCATTTATCTGTATTTTAATGTAAAAAAGGTTTATGGTTGGTGTCTTAGTCGTGCAATTCTAGATAAAGCAAAGACATATCAAAACATGATTTAATACCTCTGTAGAAACCTAACAAAACTTCATATTGTTATTGCTCTGTGGTGAACTCGATATTGCAATTTTGTTTAGTATTCATCATGGCCCTCTGTTAAATTAATGACATTGGTGATTGTCTCTTGCAGAATTGATTGTATGGCTGCAAGCTATTATTTCTGTGGAAATGGAACAAATGACTTATTCTGTAATATCCGACTCATCACCTCTTATATTTTTCTTATAAAATCCCCAGAAAATATATTAATGTTGTTTTAAGTCCTTGTTAATCTACTCAAAAATGACATATCTAAAAAAACAAAGAAATAATTTAGCTTTGTCAAACTCAAATTCATAAATTAAAGTATACAATATGGTTTCAAGAGAAGGGGGTTACTGCTACTCTGTGTTGCTACTCAAAATGAGCATTGCTTTGCTTCCATTTTTGATCAGTATTTTCAATGAATGCTGGATAAATGTATCATGTTTTGTATTATCTTGAAGAAAAAACCTATAAAAATATTATTGAAAAAAATAAGTACAATAAGTAAACATATATAACCATCAAGTGATGTATACATATGATAATGTTTTTATGTTTGAGGTACAGTATTTCCTTGAATGATTATGAAAAATACAAAATAAGATTTTTTCTTGTTCATCTGTAACAAATTGGTACACCTTTGTAACCATTGTTTCTTATTAATAAATTATCTTTTCTTTGCCAAGATTTAATTTTTCTCCAAAATTTGAGTAAACACCACTATCATCCTTGAAATTGACTAACACAATCAGTTAATATATGTAAAGCTTGAATGATCCCTTGTGGTATAAAAGTTTAGATGCAGTAAAACCTTACCCTGCGCACAGTCTCGTTATAAACTACCCTCTGCCTAGTATAGACTATATTACAGTTTAGCAGCCCCACCCCAAATATTGGTGTCTGTGACAGCCCGGGTAATAAATCATTTCAAATCCACCACGTTGACCCTTTCTCAACCAGTCAGCGAAGTGGAAGGAATATGTGCTTAATATGTGCTCATAAACTATGCGGTGATGTCAGAGGAAATGACCATAAAGAAAGTCGTCCATATTTAGACGAGGAACTCTGATTGGGTCGGTGAGATCAGAGATTTATTCTAAACTGAAAGAGTGAAGACGAAGCTCTCTTTTAAGAAGTGAAGTCGAATGAATGCAAAGGGTAGTAAAACCTGTCTTTGTGAACAACTATCTCTAGTGAACACCGTAATCCTCCCCACGTACTATCTTCTGTATGAATTACCCTCTTTGTAATGAACACATTTTGTGTCACCATAGGTGTTCACTGCATGTAGGTTTTACTGTACTTTCAATCGCTATTCATGTGTAGCCTTTTTCAAATCACAATTCATTTTTAATTTCAGACATTCAAACCAAAGAAAAAGTTTGATCCAGGTACATTGAAATATAACCTCCACAAGCAGGCGAATGCCACACTACAATCAGGGATAGACCTTAAACATGTTGTGAAACTACCACCAGGGGAAGAGCTCAATGATTGGATTGCTGTTCATGGTATGACATTTTTAAAAGTAATTCTAAGTATTACCTTGTTTCATAAATAAGAATATTCTTATTTTGAGCTTTCTGATAATAAGAATGTTCATATTTTCAACCCCTCTCCTGAAAATGAAAAAGTAAGCTATGTGTTCCCTAAGAAAACAGTTTTTCTTTTGTCCAGTAAAATAGGAAAAACTCAATGGAAAAAAGTAGTTTGGATCACAATTAATTTTTTTTTATTTGTGGTAAGTCAACTAGATACCTTTCTATTGGAACAATTTTCTCATTTACAAAAATACTCCCTAAATGTCAATAAACCTAAATAAAATGCAAAAGATTGAATTGAAACATTTTTGAAGTGCATCTTTCCAATTTCATTGATTTTTATGCATATATATATTGGTGTGATATTTCGAGCATCAGGCAGCTTTATATCAGCTCAAACACACCTACATGAAAAAGCTAGTAAGGCAATTTTTAAACTTAAAAGATGCCTTCAACAGAGTGATATAAAACCACGGCTTGGGCTTAAACTGTTTGATCAAATGATAAAACCAATTTGTCTATATGGGGCTGAAATATGGGCCCCTTTCAGTCTTAACAAAGTATCCAGTTCAAACCTAGAAGAAGCATACTTAAACCAAAACAAATTCCCCTCAGAAAAATTAAACATATCCTTTTCCAAATTCCTACTTGGAGTTGGTAGAAAGGCCACTAATATGGCTGTTTATGGGGAACTTGGGAGATATCCACGATTTATAGGTATATTTGGCCAAATTCTCAACTTCTTACATCATATTAAAGATACAAAAAATGTTCTAATCAAGGCAGCTTTTGACTGCTCCAAAGAACTAGAAGAAAACTCATGGGTTTCAAACGTAAACAAAATAATTTGCTCTATTAATGAAAATTGCTCTGAATCTGTGGATTCTACAATTGATACCTTAAGATGTACATCATTACTTAAACTAAAATTTGACAGGTACTGGAAGAATAAATTAAACACTGACACTAGGAAAAATGATAACGGCAATAAACTACGAACCTACAGAACCCTCAAGAAAGATTTTAAATATGAACATTATTTAAATATAATCGACAGACTTGATATGCGAAGAAACTTTACACGTTTGAGAATAAACGCTCACAACCTCCAAATTGAGCAAGGGAGATATACAAAACCAAAGAAAACCCCAATTGAAGAAAGACTGTGTGTCCATTGCAATATTATTGATGATGAAGAACATTTTATGATGAAGTGTAAAAAATATCAAAATGAAAGATTATTACTTCAAACTGAATTATCTAATACGGCAAAAGCACAATCAATTTATATACCTCTTAACTTTTATAAATCAAGATTGCATCAAGGTTGCAAAATATATTAGTGATGCCTTCCGAATTTTAGAGAATAATACTTAATTTAGAAAGGCTAATTCCTGCTGCGCAAAAAAACATTTTGTAGTAACACATATTTTACAGTTAAGCATATATTATATGTAGTATATAGTAGTCTAGTGTTAAATCATATATATTCTTTTTGTGTACTACACTTTCTTGTACCTGACCCTCAGGGGTGTGAATGTACTCAATAAATATTCTATAAAATTCTATATATTTAATATTCAATTTATTTCATTTTCTGAAGGGCTTTCCAAAGTTTTCAATCATATGATATATTTTATAAATTTATTTCAGTGGTAGATTTCTTCAATCGTATTAACCTACTATACGGCACAGTGTGTGATTATTGCAATGAGCAGACTTGCCCTACAATGTCAGGAGGACCTAGGTAAGTAACATGTCCTTTACAGGCCCTATGTACAGGGTGTTCAATAAATATTGTTAAAATTTTGGCTTAAAATTCTGAAGCACTTTTTTTGGTCCAGATTACTGTAATTCTCACAGAACATCAGTACAATACAATGTACAGTACTCCATAATGTTCAGTAAAAACTGAGCCAGAATGTAACATTTCTATCAATACTTATTGAACACCATGTAAAATGGCCTGCATGAAATTTTATGAACTCATACCTTTTGCAGCTTTGCCACTAATTTAAATGCATTAAGAGCCACATTATCTCGCCTTTATTATAATGTTTAGCAGTGAATATGTTTCAGGCATAAATATCATTGAATTTGCAAATTTTCTCAAGTATATTATTGAAATATTTTCATTTTGGGTGGATACTGGTTATTACTGAATTTTATCTATTTCAGGCATGAATATCACTGAATTGTTATATTTGAGATTTGAGTATCACTGTAGTTACTATATTTTGGGTATGAACATCACTGAATTTCTACATTTCAGGTATGAATACCACTGGCAAGATGGTGTGAACTACAAAAAGCCCACAGCTCTCCCAGCAAATCAATATATAGCCCTACTCATGGATTGGGCGGAGGGACAAATAAACAATGAGAATATATTTCCATGCACCCTAGGTAAGTCCCCATCACTAAAGAATTTTAAAATGCATTTTCAATGAATCCATTCAATAGATGGCATTTTCAGACTGTATAAAACATTGAATATTACATGTACTTCAAATGTCTCAAAAAATATAATACCAGTCATCTCAAGATACATAGAATGATGATGATATAAATTGGTTTAAGTCTAATTATTTTAGAAGTATTTAAAATTTAACGAGAGAGCAATAAATGAACACAAAATAATGGGATGCAATAGTGATCTGCCATCTTTATGAGCCCTCAAGGTAATTCAATATTTAATAAATGCACACAAAATAATGGGATGCAATAGTGATCTGCCATCTTTATAAGCCCTCAAGGTAATTCAATATTTAATAAATGCACACAAAATAATGGGATGCAATAGTGATCTGCCATCTTTATGAGCCCTCAAGGTAATTCAATATTTAATAAATGCACACAAAATAATGGGATGCAATAGTGATCTGCCATCTTTATGAGCCCTCAAGGTAATTCAACATTTAATAAATGCACACAAAATAATGGGATGCAATAGTGATCTGCCATCTTTATGAGCCCTCAAGGTAATTCAACATTTAATAAATGCACACAAAATAATGGGATGCAATAGTGATCTGCCATCTTTATGAGCCTCAAGGTAATTCAATATTTAATAAATGCACACAAAATAATGGGATGCAATAGTGATCTACCATCTTTATGAGCCCTCAAGGTAATTCAATATTTAATAAATGCACACAAAATAATGGGATGTGATAGTGATCTACCATCTTTATGAGCCCTCAAGGTAATTCAATATTTAATAAATGCACACAAAATAATGGGATGCAATAGTGATCTACCATCTTTATGAGCCCTCAAGGTAATTCAACATTTAATAAATGCACACAAAATAATGGGATGCAATAGTGATCTACCATCTTTATGAGCCCTCAAGGTAATTCAATATTTGATAAATGCACACAAAATAATGGGATGTGATAGTGATCTTCCATCTTTATGAGCCCTCAAGGTAATTCAATATTTAATAAATGCACACAAAATAATTGGATGCAATAGTGATCTACCATCTTTATGAGCCCTCAAGGTAATTCAATATTTAATAAATGCACACAAAATAATGGGATGCAATAGTGATCTACCATCTTTATGAGCCCTCAAGGAAATTCAACATTTAATAAATGCACACAAAATAATGGGATGCAATAGTAATCTACCATCTTTATGAGCCCTCAAGGAAATTCAACATTTAATAAATCACTCCCCCCAGTTTTCTGCAAGTTAAAATGCTCAATTCTGCAAGTGAAATTAGTGAATTCTGCAAGAAGAAAGGGCTAATTCTGCAGAAATTCCGCGGATATTATTTTTTTGCGGTTATTATAAAAAAAATCAAGAAGGATCGGGCGCATAATGGGAATCACGATATATGTAAATCAGGTTTTAAGTGTAATATCTCATTGGAGTTCGAAGTTTTCGATCAATAACTTAATAATATAAATAACTGTTATTAATTTATGTCTTTGTTTAACTTTCTGACGAGAACCGAAAGAAAAACTAATGGTTTTCGAACCAGTAAACGGGAAAATATCGTGATAGTCAGGTAGTCAGTCACTACATACATGCTGCCATCTAACGGCAGAAATCAAACGATGGCGTTTAGAATTTTCACTTCGCATAATTTGGGTTATTTCTGCAAGGGATTTGACTGAAAACGTGTCAAATTGTTACAGGTAAGACTGACTTTTTAAACTTTTGGAAAATATATGGATTCTGCGGAAAATTCCGCGGAAATTGACCAAAATAGTTGATTCTGCAATTCCGCGGGCAGAGGCAAATTCCGTCCGCGCAATGCAAACACGGAATCCTGGGGGCAGTGATAAATGCACACAAAATAATGGGATGCAATAGTAATCTACCATCTTTATGAGCCCTCAAGGAAATTCAACATTTAATAAATGCACACAAAATAATGGGGTGTGATAGTAATTCAACATTTAATCTTTACATTTGAGCAAGAAAAAATGAACACTTTTTTTGTAAATGGAACACTTTTTATCCATAACCAACTAACCAAAGGTGTTCCACTTACAGAAGAATTATTTTCATTTTTACTGAAAATTTTGATTTGAAATTGAACATCTTATGGTATGGCAACATGTAAACAGTTAATTTGGTATCTATATGTACTTAAAACCCTTTAGATATCATGCATGCAATTTTTATCTTTGAATCTCTTATAACCTTTAAAAAATTAGAATAAAACCACGATCAACATTTATGATTATACGAAAACATAATTCACCATTGATAATGAAATGACAAACATATAATCCAACATGTAATTGTAAAAACATTTTTATTATGAATGAATATAATAAATTTCAGCATCTTGCTATTCTACATCAACCATCAACATTTAGTGAGCTAATATAGTTCACAATTATTTTAGCTTTGAGTACATTAACTCCATATCCATAATGGGTACCATCAATACTGAACACTCCATCGGACAAGTGTTCATTGTTCAATATGGGTATGCAGTATTTTCCTAGGAATTCCTTGATGTCTTTATTATACTGCAGTACATGGAAAACATCTTGTTGAACAAGATGAAGAGATTTCAGAAGACCAGGTCGATGAATGCCAGACCATAAAACACTCGGACGTTTACTCGAACTCAGATCATTTTCGTCATTATCAGTATAATGTTTATTGCCATTGGAAGATCCAGTATTTGTTAATTGAGGTAGAACTGAAGAAGGATAATGTTTATGTCTTGTTAGCACTGGGTTATTTGAATCTGCTTCATCTAATTTTGTTCTTTCTTTATATATCTCATTCAGGGCTGGCTTTATATAATCATTGATCATATATTGAGAATTGAGGTCATCATGTAACCCAGCACCCATTATTATCAAGCTTTTCTCATCAAGGTCCAGTTCTGAAATGGTCCCCTTCTGCTTTTTGAAGACATCAATTGAATAAAGTTCTGCCAATGTGAGTTTGAGATTTCCATTGCAGAGCGTAGCTGACTTCCAAATGTATTCGTTATTGCATTGTTTATGAAGTAATTGGTAATATTTGGTACACACTTGCTTTATTTCTGAAAATAAATCCAAATGTGAATGGTTATAATATGTATCATTAAAAAGTATTCCCAAATCCTCCCTGGCTACGGGCCAATATACTCTTCCTCTTCCAAGATCTCAAAGGAAACTAATATCTCTTAAAATTTGTGGATATTCAAGATTAAAAATGCAGAAATTTATGAATTCTCCCTTAATGTTAAAATATATACTTCTGATATAAGATAGAGATGTCCTCTACCTATAAAGGATGAGTCCGGATATATGGCCTTTTCGTCCCTCAGTTAAATGTATGTGTAATATGGTTTTTATGTCACCACCAAAAGTGGTGACATATTGTTATGGTCTCCGTTTTTTTTATGTCACCACCAAAAGTGGTGACATATTGTTATGGTCTCCATTTTTTTGCGACGGTGGTTGGTGGTTGGCGGTTGGTGGTTGGAGGTTGGCGTCCGGCGTCTGTAACAATTTCTTACAACTTCCTATAACTTAACAAATACTGTTTAGATTGACTTCAATTTTTTTCTAAATCATCTACATGTTCTCAGAAGTTCAAATCTGACTTTAGATTTGACATTTGACCTTCAATGACCTTCTCAAGGTCAAAAAGGTCTTTTTTCAACTTGCTTCACATTGACTAAATTTTTTTTCAAAATCATCTACATGTTCTCAGAAATTCAAATCTGACTTTAGATTTGACATTTGACCTTCAAATCTAACTTTAGATTTGACATTTGACCTTCAAATCTAAAGGTCTGTTTTCAACTTGCTTCAAATTGACTAAAAAAATTTTCAAAATCATCTACGTGTTCTCAGAAATTCAAATCTGACTTTAGATTTGACATAAGATTTGACATTTGACCTTCAATGACCTTCTCAAAGTCAAAAAAGGTCAAAAAGGTCTTTTTTCAACTTGCTTCAAATTGACTAAATTTTTTTTCAAAATCATCTACATGTTCTCAGAAATTCAAATCTGACTTTAGATTTGACATTTGACCTTCAATGACCTTCTCAATGTCAAAAAAGGTCAAAAAGGTATTTTTTCATCTTGCTTCAAATTGACTAAAAAATTTTTTCAAAATCATCTACATGTTCTCAGAAATTTAAATATGACTTTAGATTTGACTTTGGATTTGACATTTGACCTTCAATGACCTTCTCAAGGTCAAAAAAGGTCAAAAGGGTCTTTTTTCAACTTGCTTCAAATTGACTAATTTTTTTTTCAAAATCATCTACATGTTCTCAGAAATTCAAATCTGACTTTAGATTTGACATTTGACCTTTAATGACCTTCTCAAGGTCAAAAAAGGTCAAAAAGGTCTGTTTTCAACTTGCTTCAAATTGACCAAATTTTTTTTTCAAAATCATCTACATCTTTTCAGAAGTTCAAATTTGACTTTACAAGTTCTCAGAAGTTCAAATCGGACTTAAGATTTGACCTTTGACCTTCAATGACCTTCTCAAGGTCAAAAAGGTCTTTTTTCAACTTGCTTCAAATTGACTAAATTTTTTTTTCAAAATCATCTACATGTTCTCAGAAATTCAAATCTGGCTTTACATTTGACATTTGACCTTCAATGACCTTCTCAATGTCAAAAAAGGTCAAAAAGGTATTTTTTCATCTTGCTTCAAATTGACTAAAAATCTTTTTCAAAATCATCTACATGTTCTCAGAAATTCAAATATGACTTTAGATTTGACTCTAGATTTGACATTTGACCTTCAATGACCTTCTCAAGGTCAAAAAAGGTCAAAAAGGTCTTTTTTCAACTTGCTTCAAATTGACTAATTTTTTTTTTCAAAATCATCTACATGTTCTCAGAAATTCAAATCTGACTTTAGATTTGACATTTGACCTTTAATGACCTTCTCAAGGTCAAAAAAGGTCAAAAAGGTCTGTTTTCAACTTGCTTAAAATTGACCAAATTTTTTTTTCAAAATCATCTCCATCTTTTCAGAAGTTCAAATTTGACTTTACAAGTTCTCAGAAGTTCAAATCTGACTTTAGATTTGACCTTTGACCTTCAATGACCTTCTCAAGGTCAAAAAGGTCTTTTTTCAACTTGCTTCAAATTGACTAATTTTTTTTCAAAATCATCTACATGTTCTCAGAAGTTCAAATCTGACTTTAGATTTGACATTTGACCTTCAATGACCTTTTCAAGGTCAAAAAGGTCTTTTTTCAACTTGCTTCAAATTTACTTAATTTTTTTTTCAAAATCATCTACATGTTCTCAGAAGTTCAAATCTGACTTTACATTTGACATTTGACTTTCAATGACCTTCTCAATGTCAAAAAAAAAGTCAAAGAGGTATTTTTTCAACTTGCTTTAAATTGACCAAATTGTTTTAGGTGGTGACATTTTGTCATGTTAATGCCTTGTTATTATTGTCCTAGTTATATTTGATAAGTATATTTACTTTTTCATGAGTTTTGATGCATAATTAACCCCCTGCTGAGAGTCTATAATAAGTATCCTTACAAAACAAAAAATAGTCATTATCATACAAAAACACCATTGGCAACATGTATGACATACAAAGAAGAAATAACTTAAGAACCATGAAGAATTAAAAAGAAAATCATAGTTTTGAAATATATTTAATGATTAAATTCTTTCCAAACTTTTGAATTTTCTGCCTGTTTAATTTGAAGGGGGGGGGGGAAACAAGCTGGCTGCCATTTTATGGAAGAAATATCATATATTGCTTCACTTTTAATTTTCACAATGAGTACAGTTTTCTGGTTTAGGTTTTTTGATTGATTTTGACTTTTCATCACCAGGGTGATGTATAGAGATTATAAAATTGAAACCAAAGTGTTGTGCTCAGCATGAATTTGACTGAAATACATGTATGTGTAACTTCACCAACACAATTGAAGTGTCAAAACTGGATGGTCAGTAACTTTGAGTGACTAATTATTAATCCCTTGATTACCCAGATAAACACCAATTCACTTATCCAGAAATACCATTCAATGTATATATAAAGAAAGTAAGCAATGTTTTGGAGGGTATGTTTCAAACTTTTTGTATAAATTATTCATTTAATATTTGCCATTGATTTTTTCAATTCTGGCAAAGTGATATGCATTGTCTTTGTTGCCAATATTCTTCATCAATTGTGATACAAATTGATATTTTTGTAATCTCAGAAGAAAGATAAGATATACGTTTAATAATATTATGTGATTGAGTGGTTTTTCAGACATTACAATTTTCAAATATTTTCTAAGTCGATACCCAGACTCATCCTTTTGATTTTTAGCAAATTGTAGAAATACCCCATGGATGATAATTGGTAGCCTTATGCTAGACAATTTTTGATAATGTTGCTTGCTTCAACTATTGCTCCATTATAGTAATTACAGTACAGTATAGTAAATAATGAACCCTGAGGTTCAGAGTTGAATAGTATTTACCACACTCTGAATAGGATAAATAAATTAACAGATTTCATGCTGATAATATCTTAACCTTCAAAGTAGCTGTCATGATCTTTCATGGAGGTTGAAAATCATGGTATTCAATGATGGTAATTCGGATTGGGTAGCTGAATTTAAAAAACCTATGCTGATTTCTGGTGGATAGGTGGTATTTATCATAAGATTATTTTTGTATAATTGAAATGAATAAAAAATGCAAACCTTTGGGAGTATTTGGATGCAATAGACTATCTGCTCCAGGTCCTTGTCTAAGCAATATCAATAGCCCAGCCATGACATGTCTCATCAATGAATCTCCCATGACAACGATATGGTTGAACCGCTTTGTTATGACATCACAGGCTTCCTGAGGGTTGAACTCCTGTACTTGACACTGGTTGTTGTCTGGTACCCAATCTGCTAACTCAGCATGAATTTCTTGACGCAGATCATAACATCTGTCACATTGGCACTCAAGGGTTGATTTATCCATACATATGTTGTCATAGCAACATGGTTTTGGACCATCTGGATCACACAAAGCTCGGAAATTCACAGGTCTCGTATTGAATAATGTTTGAAAGTATGTTTCGGTGTATAAGTGTGTATTACCACATTGGTCATCATCTCTTTGGAGACTAATATGCTTAGATTTTAATGCTTTGCGAATATCCAATTCCACAACATCTTTTTCACTTAGATCATTTTTTAGTTTCCAAGAGCCTTTGGTGAGTGCTTCTAACACATTAGAACAGGGGCCAGTGTTATTATCTTTTGGTTTGAGTCCACAAGTTGTTGAGAACTCCATCAATGGAACTTTGGAATATGAAACTGCGACCAAGTACACTATGTAACTTATTGTACTTATAACTATTAGGACATAACAGGCATGCTTTTTATCTCTCATTCTGAAGATCTCAAACTTGAGTTATACACATTCTCAGTAGCTTATAGCCTTGCCCAAGTCGGTCTCTTTTACTATCTGATTTCTATTATGACCGCCTTGTACAAAAGAGAAAGCCACGTGCTTTACCGACTCAATGTTTATGTCGGTAAAATTTGACCAATCAACGACGGCCCTGCAGCGCTAGCTCATTATTATTTTCACAAACAAATCTTGCATGAATTCATCATGAAAATACAAATATTTTATCAGATAAATATCAATCAGAGTTAAGTGGATGCTAGACATCGATCGGTAACCGGAGGTTAGAAGATTTCAACAATAAACGTTGAAACGATCGCTGAATTCAAATGAACATGTAGGCTGAGATTCAATCACTGATCGACGACTACATGACCCGCTACATTGGACTAGGTCTTGCATTTTCATCGCGAGATCAGTTTTAAATCTATTGCATGATTTAATTTATATTAATGACTCTTACATTCCTTATGTACATTTAATTACATAATATATTGTAACTCTAAAGAAACGATTGATCAGATCATTGAATTTCAAGTCGTAGACGGGAAGATTGCTTTGCTGTGCAGCTAAACCTGATAACGTTTTGATTGGTCAATCAGCCTGAAGTCACACGTCGTGTCCACGCGTATATCTGTTAATTAATAAGGTTTCGCGATACCCCTGGTAGCGTAGGTATTATGGAAATCTCGAAACCGTTGAATATCTCAGCATAATAGCAGCGGAGATGTATTGGATTGTACAAGGCGGTAATAATTCAAGATCAGATAAGTAAAAATACCGACTTGGGCAAGGCTAAGTAGCTTATTATGTAATCTAACAGTGTGAATGTTTTTTGTTTGATAAAGTTGCATTCTGATGTCATCTACATGTTTGCCCAAAGGCTGTCTAACTTGATCTGCCTTAGTATGAATCATTTATCATTACGCCTTCAAAATGTTGACTGTAGGTTAATGCGTTCTTGGTCTCTTCTGAAATATAAATTCTCTTTGTGATAACATATACTGGGTGATATCTATAATACATGGCATAACTAAAACTTATTAGCTCTATGTAAACTGCAATCAGATTCCTATTGTTACTATAATTAATTGACTACTTAAAAACACATTGAAGAGCCAGTGTGGCTGGGAGCATGGTTGCAGTTTGCACACTTCGAAACTTATTTAGCCTGACTTAGTAGGTACACTACTGTGATTGCAATCATGAAACAAAGGGCCACCTTTTGTTGAGACTGGCCACATGTAAAGTAAAACAATATTTTTCAAAAACTGCTTGAAAATGAATGAGTGTAGTTTGGTCTGAAAGCATTTTGTATTGCTTTGTACAGTTGTAGGCCCCTTTTTGAGTTTATTTCTTCAGTATTCTTGTACATCAATCAAATTTAAAAAAATTAGATTTTGATAATGAATGTAACTGTCACTTAGTTACCTACCAGAATTCAGTATACCCTCATCCTCATACATTTAATTTTATTAAAAGTTTTGAAATGATATATATAACTTTTATATATAACTTTTATTGACATCTTGTATCATAACATGATTACATTAGTCATAACTATGAAAAAACTAAATATCTAAACTACAAATACTAACTAAGGCAAAAGTACAAAAATATATACGAGATATACAAAAACCCAAAATAAAGGTAGTATACATCATGATGAAAGGACAAGGTTACAAGGTTACATTTAAAGTGTGGTGCACATACCCTGCATTCTGACTACAAATTCTTAAATGAATGATAAATGAATTTTCCAAAGTGTCTTTGTAATGTTAAGTTTTTACTTGAAATGAGATTGACAAATAAATTTTCACTATAGAGGTCAAAGTTACTTAGAATTTCACGAGCCTTAGTGTACAATAATTGTCTATGCTCATCATTCTTTGTACAAGTTAAAAGGAAATGACATTCATCCTCTATATGTTTACAGGTATTGCATAATCTTTCCTCTCTAGGTTTTGGTTTTGGCTTTGCATGTCTTCCAGTCTCAATCGCCAATCGATGAGAACTCATTCGAAATCTACTTATCGCCAATCTATACTTTTTATTATCTAATTTCAAATATAATTCAATTCTAAAATCTTTTTTGAACAATTTATACGTTCTCAGTATAGGATAAATGTTCAAATCATTTTTCCATTTTTCTACAAATAATACCTTCAACTTCTTTTCTACCATGCTCACTAGATTGTCAGTATTCAGATTTTGGTCATTCCAATAATCCAATAAATCACATTTTCTGAGTATATCATAGACCTTGCTACACCAACTTTTGAATCCTAACTCTTGAATATCTCTATCATATAAATAGGCTTGGTTTAATACACTTGATTCTGGAAATGTTAGAAGTCTAAGCCAATATTTTATAATAAAAGAATCAAGATTTAAACTTGAATAGAGTGGGACTGGGATGGTTGCAGCTTATGCCTAGGTCACATTTGCTTCGAATTATCGGCTGGTGCCCAGCCGATTGAGTATTTTGCTTAAAATTGAAGGTCAAAACTCAAATTTGAGGTCAAAGTTGAACAAAATACTGCAATCGGCCGGGCGCTGGTGGATGAATCGGAGCAAATGTGACTCAGGCATTAGCTGTATTTCTGATTTTGATGAGAATATTGCCTCCTGTATATGCAAGGACAACAGGATTATGGACATGTTTGATATGTTTAATGGTTTGAAACAAGACCATGGAAGTATTCGCAATTCAGTATGTTTTACACCCAAAATGGTACAAATGTTAATTACATGTCATTGTATTAAATGTATATAGACTCACCAACTTGCAATTACACTTACCTGATATTAACACTTCATTTAAGTCCTGACATCACTTTTTAGTTATGACATCCAAATATCTAACTGAACATATAATCTTGTAGTCTATCAGTCCATATCTGTACATTACGTATTTATTCCTTTAGATTCATGACATCAAGGTATTTCATATGGCATTCTTATATTGGTACCAGTATATAGTATTTAAGACAGTTTACATGTCAAACATTTAACGGACATTTAACAGCATGGTTAACACTAGTATACCTATATCAATACTATATGTGTCTACTCTTAAGTGTATACATATTACATCAGGGCTAGTGGTCAATATCCCAGATGCGAGTAGAAATTCCCCCGAATCAGCCACCTGGTGGCGAAACTGGTAACTACCTACTCGCATCTGAGTAATTGTATGAGTATAAAGGATCAGTATAAAAGGATTTGAATGCCTTTAGTACAAATATTACGTTCTTATGTTAATATTGGAAGTTGACCAATAAACAAATAACTGAATATTAGAAAACCCATGAGGCAGAAAAACATGGCTGGGGAGGGGGGTGGGGGTCATAAATGTCACATTTATGTAGCATATAGTGTGGAATACTTGCATGTGCATAATTGATAAATGGTCAACAAACAAATGATTTTAAGGAATTTTAACACGATCATTATCCTGCCAAATATGAAGACCTAATTGGATATGAGATTTCAATGGCCAATGCTGGGTTTAACAACACAACATGTCTTTGGACTGAAATATGGCAAAAATTGCCTCCCATGTTTTTGGCTCACACAGTGAGCCTATGGGATCAACCAGGCATCCGTCCATCTGTTGGGTTGTCCGTCATCGCCATTTTCACCCGGTTTTCGAGAAATTGCTGATTTTGACTTAAAATAAAGTCAAATTTTCTTTAGATACCTTTGTTAAAGTAGAACTTTCAAATAACTGGAAGCACAAGAGACCTACTGAGCTCTGAAAAAGTAAAATTTTCAAGGTCAGAGGTCAAGGTCATCAAACTAGGTCACAAACAGTGCCAACGAGGTGTCTCAAAGTTCGAGACTACAAATTTCACAAAACAATATTTTTATTTAAAGTCAGGATACACATTCATGTGAAGGTTTTACACTGTGTGAGCACAGGGCCGTGGGTTCTTCATTTATGATAGAATAGAAAGGTACATACATTATACATGCTTTAAATCCTCTACTTTCAGGTGTGCCATTTCCAAAGAACTACATCTCGTTAGTAAAGAAGATATTAGCACGATTATTTCGAGTATTTGTACACGTTTATATTCATCACTTCGATAAACTAGTAGGAATAGGAGCAGTAAGTTTATTTAATTGTTTATCGATTTTAGATTCTGCATCAGAATATTCAGCATGGTACATACTTAGAGGTTATATGTTTGATTTAATAAAAAAATAAATGAATAAAAAAAATACTTAGAGGTTGTGTCACGATGACGTGAAATATGCCTGAGTGATATACAGTGCTGATCACTGATGTGTAATGAATGTACAGGTATGTTATTGGCTGTTATTGAATAACCTGTGCCTCCATTTGAAAAATTTGATGTTAAGATGTTAACAAGTACAGAGTCTTTTGTGAAAGACTAGAAAAATACACCAAGGAATTCTACTAGCAAAAATATTGTAAATTTAATTATTTTTTTAAATGGTTCAATAACTGACTGTTCATGATACCTGCATTTCATAAATTAATTGATAAGATTAATGTTGACATTTAAATCAATGTTGTAATGTTAAAATATAAAATAACTTTCCATGAATTCACCAGGGTACAGCCTACTGTCTTTGCAAATAGTGTTCCTAATTGATTTATATTTCATTTAATACAGTTGTTATGTCACCACCAAAAAGTGGTGACATATTGTTATGGTCTCCGTTTTTTTTGACGGCGGTTGGTGGTTGGTGATCAGCGATCAGCGGGTGGCAGTTGCGTCTGTAACAAATTCTTTAAACTTTCAATAACTTAACACTTTCTGTTTAGACTCACTTCAGTTTTTTCAAAATTATCTACAAGTTTTCAGAAGTTCAAATTTGACTTTTTATTAATGATTTGACCTTCAGTGACCTTCTCAAGATCAAAAAAGGTATTTTTTTCAACTTGCTTCAAATTGACCAAATTTTGTTTTCAAAATCATATACAAGTTATCAGAAATTTAAATCTGACTTTAGATTTGAGATTTGACCTTCATTGACCTTCTCAAGGTCAAAAAAGGTCAAAAAGGTCTTGTTTCAACTTGCTTCATATTGACCAAATTTTCTTTTTTCAAAATCATCTACAAGTTATCAAAAGTTTAAATCTGACTTAAGAATTGAGATTAGACCTTTATTGACCTTCTCAAGGTCATCAAAGGCCAAAAAGGTATTTTTCAACTTGCTTCAAATTGATCAATTTCTTTCAAAATCATCTAGAAGTTCTCAAAAGTTTAAATCTGACCAGAGATTTTACCTTTAATGATAGTCTCAAGATCAAAAAAATATTTGACCTTCAATGACCTTCTCAAGGTCAAAAAGGTCTTTTTTAAACTTGCTTCAAATTGACCATTTTTTTCAAAACCATCTACAAGTCCTCAGAAAATCAAATCTGACTTTGGATTTGAGATTTTTTCAAAACCATCTACAAGTTCTCAGAAGTTCAAATCTGACTTTAGATTTGAGATCTTCAATTACCCTTTGAGGGTCAAAAAGGGTATTTTTTCAACTTGCTTCAAATTGACCAATTTTTTAAAAATCATCTACAATAATATTGTGAGCAACTAGGTGGTGACATTTTGTCATGTTAATGTCTTTAATGTTAATGTTAATGTTTATTATATTTTGTTTCAGGAAGCCCATGTTAACACTTGCTACAAACATTTTTACTATTTTGTAACGGAATTCAATTTGGTGGATAAAAAAGAGCTTGAACCATTGGTAAGTAGAATATACCTCGGAAGGGGTCAATCATAAAATCAATGATCACCAAAGCTTCTAGTAAATGCTTTCCCAACAAACAATCAAATTAAATGTTGACATATTTAGCCAACATATGTGAGAGCACAGATTTAATGTTATGGCAAATATTGCGTTAGATGATTGTGCGCAGGCATTAAGTAAAAACTTTGATGAACGTTGCTTTTATGATATCCTTTACTTACCCATGGGCAATCTATTGAAAGCCCACGACTTACCTTAGAACATATGTTTGGTATTTTCCCTAATATTATTATATCCTTTTCATGATTCAAGATTTATATCCCTTATACAGTGTGTATGTTTTTCATAAATAGACTAGATGCGAGTAGAAATAATTTTGATTTACGTTATTAAATATTCAAAATTCAGTCAAAATGATGACATATTTGAAATCTGCATGTAAAAGTACATCTAGAAATATGTTTTCGAAAATTGTCTATCAACTTTGAAAATTTAATTTTTTTTGAAAATGTGACTTCTTGTTCGGGTTGATTCCTCATAGACCCCATGTTACAAAATCACAAAAAGTGAATTATCTTCTCTTGTATTGGACAGATAGCATTTTCTTTTACTGGACATATTTTAATTTGCATAACTATTAGATACATGAGGGTTATATGAAAATTGAACCACGCAAATAGATGTAATTTAAGTTAAAGGGAACTTTCTACTATACCCGCCATGCTATCTGACCCGAACGAGCCACCTGGTGGTGAATCTGGTAACTACCTACTCGCATCTGCGTTATTGTCTCCTACTTTAATTTGCTGGATTTGAGAACTTGCCCTATTATTTTTGGTCCAAAACCCCAATTGTAATCCAGCCATTGTAGTTCAGCAATTATATCATATTTTTGTGTCAATAAAAACACACTAAATAGAGCCAATTTATTAACAAATAAATACATTTTATATGATATTCTCCCTTAGATCACTGTTTATTCCGTATAGCAGTGTATATATATTCAAGTTACATGGTGAATCTTTTGATTAATATTCATATGTAATTAACAGCATTCAAGTGTTAAAACTGTTTTCTAACAACTGAATTATTGGAATTGGTGCTTATGCAAAGCCGAGTTTTCAATTAATTCATCAATCTACTCATGGACAAGTTTTGTCCATGACATGACTTGGATAAGACTAGAATTAAAAGATGTGAGCATTTTATTAAAAAAAAGTCAATGCAACGTAGTAGTACATGTAGTAGTTATAGAAAATAATGATGAACTCTGATTTATACTTCACGATATTTTAAAGAATAATATATTGCATTTCACTCAATTAACTGTTTGCAAAAGAGTGAAAAAAAGAGTTCCAATGTGACATCCTTCTCACTGGTGATCCACTCGATTACGCAAGCTACGAAGGTCCGATTTTTTTCCCTTATTTCACGCGTTGTTGGCAGAATTCCCACGAAATTTTATCACAAATATTTGTCAGTATCATATGTTTAAGAAAATGTGCATGTTTGCGAACAAATAGTTCAGAAGAGAACAGAATCGTCGATTTAATACCTTACTTTAGTAACGTAAACAGAACTTCAAAAAACGGTTCACATCTGCTTTTCTAACTCTCTTTTTATGCAGCTATAGTGAGGCTTTAAATCGACGATTCTACAATTTGTTCGTAAACTGTACATTTTCTTATACATATGATACTGACACTTGTTTGTCATAAATATGATATGTAGCGGGAATTCTGCCTACAACACGTGAAATAAGGAAAATTGAAAAATCGCACCTTCGAGGCTCCGACAATTTGTTAACGAAACAATACCCAGCGTATTTGAGGAGATCACCAGTGCTTCTAAAAATACATAACATTGCTGAGGGTGCATTTTGGTATGCTAGCGGGCGCAATCCATGCGCACAGCACTTAATGAGCCTTGTCAGCAGGTATCACAAAAAAAGAACAAAAAGTTCCACAATGCAAATTACATGCTCACATGTTTTCAACGATAACAGCTCATTCAAGCGCACTTAAACCTTTTAATACCCCTATTACTTTGTCAGTTACACTCGTTCCGGTCAATTGCTGGAGCACCACAGGGGTGCCATTGACACAAATGTTGGTGCCTGTGTGCACTTGAATGAGTCGTTTTCTTGTTAAAAACATGCGACCAAGCAATCTACACCGTGGGATCCATTGATCGTTTTCATGATAAGGCTCATTAACTGCTGTATGGGTGTATTGCACCCGCGTGTATACGACATTACAGCCTAAATGTAATGCTAATGTGATAATTTGTCTAGCTTTACTCCAGGGACAAACTTTCACAATGATCGTTCAACTACATGTAGATATACATACCGTACAATCAGTCAATGAATTTAATGATATTAACATAATAGTCTCTTTGTTATAACTTGTTCACTTTTTACCTTGTGTTAATATTAGACATATTAAAATTGCAGAAACATTTGAGTGAGAATTTATGTTCTTCCCCGACAGTGTAAACCACTGTGTCTGTTCTGAAGGTGACTTAATGTTCCATTGGATTAAACGCTGGTCAGAAATTGTTTTTTGGAGGAGCAATTTTTTTCTTGGAAAGACAAATAGAACAACCTTCTTAACTGGGAAATTAATATTTATAATCAAGCTCATAAAATGTGTCAAAATCCATCCGCACCATTTTGTTTCGCTAAAATAATCCCATATTTGAAATTTTATGAGACTGTTTGAAATTGTTGAAGTCCAGCGCTCAATGGGAAATCAGATTTAAGAAAAGAATGATGAAAAATGATTGGTTTTGGGATAGTATATAATGGTTATGTCTCATTGCAGATTTACCACTGAGTAGTGAAAAAACAGAAGCTTTCATATCTGTTTGTTTGTTTTTATCGGGAAACTTTTTGACCAGCGTTTGAACCAAATCTGTATATGTGCAGTATGTAATGTGCTGACTGTATTTAGCTATTGTATGTTCCCTTCCCCTTGCATTCACCTTTCAATACAGAATATATGTAATGGTAGTTCTAGATTTTAGCTGGATGGGAGGGGCAGTGATATACTTAAACAGGTCTTACATTAATGGAGCTTTAGTGGTAGAAGGGATTTTTAAGCAGCTTTACTTTTGACTCAACCAAAATATTGATACAGATGTTATTTTTCATTATTCAAAGTTATCTGTAAAAAATATACTCATTTGATCTTCCGCTCATCATAACCTTACTTGAAATAACATGGAGCTACCATTTCATTGTCATACTAGTTATTGAATGATTTGAAGTGCAATACAGGATAAATTCTGCTCAAGAAATTCTGTATTGGAACGAGACGTAGTAGAGTGCCAATACAGATTGAGACAGAATATATCCTGTATTGCACTTTAAACCATTCAATAAAGTTTTTATCATGTGATCTAACACCAATACATTTTACTTAGGAGATAATCCCTAAGAAATATTCTGTATTTTCTGTATTGCTACTGAGAATGTCCCCTCTGTACCAATATTTTCTGTATTGCTACGGAGATGAACAATGGGGACAATCTCAGTGGCGATACAGATTGGTACAGTACAAGAACTGACCAATCAGAGGGCTTCATTTTACAGATCATACGATAATAAGGTTTATGTATTGTATAGGATAGCCTGGGATAGTTTTGCAGGCCACTTTGTACATGTACATGTATTCATTTTAAATGCACCAGCTTCTCCCGCTCAAATCTGCACCAAAAATCGCCGCATTATATCTTGAAGAGGCATTATTCTATTGATTCATCCTATTTTTTTTCTCCAAAATGAATGAAAGAATATTCCTTTTTAGAACTTTTTATTAATAGCAGGGTCTTAAAAAACTGATTTCTGTTTCTAACCAAAGCTAATGGGTACACCCACCATCTACTGATTTATTAACTTAAATATGATATGAACTTCATTGAAAATACCCAGGTGCTAAACTGTTATGACATTATATTCATATTCACAGACCAACCAAAAACTTTTATGCAATTTTCATTCACAAAATGGCTGAATTATATGGAAAGTGCCACTTTAAAATTGCAATCACTTTTTCATTTCAGTTTGTTTTAGAAGACCTGAGCTGCATTTTAACTTTTATTTTTTAAAAATATTAAATAAAGTACAGCTTAAATTCATAGTTGCCGCATTTAACCCCTGATTTGCCATTTAAGCATGTTTGTAGGCTTAAACTAATGGTAATAGAGGAATGCTACTGGTTTGGTTTGCTGATCATGAAATAACCTACAAATGGGGGCATGCCTTTCTGATTCTCATAGCATCTTTCCGTTTCACCTGAAACATGGGCTGAGAAGAAATGAGATGTCATGGTTTATCATGATGAGGGCATGCATGAAATGGAAGGATTGTCATTTTGCATTGATATAAACAAGGATTCATTTTACAATTCAGAATTTATTCATTTCAGTTCCACCTCTGAATCAAGTCATTAATTCTCTAAACTTCAGAAAATCGGGAAAGATATGTAGTTATGCATTTCATGAAATGTGCCTCTGACAAATGGACTGAATAAAAAGTATAATTTGACAAGATTTTAAATTGATGTAACACTTTGAGTAACAATTGTAAAATCAAGCCTGAAGCCTGCATATTCAATGGCTTTTTAAATATTTTACTCCCAAATTTTAAATCTAATTTTGTGATTTCAGCGACCGATGACAGAAAGACTGTGTCATTGATGTACAAACTCAACACTAGATGGAGCTATTTGCAATATGGTGGCATATTTTACCTCACAGCTTCATGACGATAAACTCACACAATTTTAACTATTGAAGACTATACTCAACCCACGTTGTTGGCACGTAGGAATTGTCTTTGTTGCATGATTTGCATAGAGATGACAGTGAAAAATAGACACTCTCAACATGAACTTCAGAATCAATTGTGAAATAAATCAAGAACAATAAATCGAGGATTCCTATGTTCAGTGGAAAGTAAAAGATGGTTGAGGGTAATGTGGGGAACATTTGAAGGGATTATATTGAATGTTTAGTCAAACTGAATATCTGGAAACATCGTACCGAAAAGTACATATACCATAGTATATATATATATACACGTATTGGGGAAGTATTGGGAAATGAACCACGAGAGTTCTAAGATAATATGTTTCATTGGCCAAGAGAGACCAGAGCCCAATGTTGAATATAACAGACCAAAATTCTGAAAAATAGATTTCATGAACGATTTTCCTCATGCAAGGAGCTTACTAAATGTTTGTACAAAAAGGTCAGTTTTTTGGCAAGTCTAGCTTCACTATTAAGATTTTGTAATGCAATGTTATAAAGCTGTGCAGGTCACATGGAAAATATTTAAAGGATGATGCCATAACAGCTTCTAATTATTACCTCGCATTGTTGTTTGGCACAACGTATATTGATGTTTTACATGCTTTTGCATGTACTTGTATGATGTAATTCTTGCATATACAATAAAACCTGTGTACAATGAACACCTGGAGCCACAGAAATGTGTTCACTATAGGTAGGTGTTCTTTGTAGAGAGGCAGTTTTATACAGAACTCAGTGGAGTATGTGCTGAGAAAAGGTGTTCACTAGTGAAAGGAGTTCATGAAGACAGGTTTTACTGTATTTCCATCTTAGAATTTGACAAGGCTCAAATTATAGTATTCACATGTAAAAAATAACCAAATGCTATAAATGTTACAACCTGTATAAAATGGTACTGCATTTGAGAAAAGAGGATTTCTGTCTCATCAATAGAACATGTCTTGAAATATTTGGTTCCAAATGACATCAAATTGAAAATATGATTCGTGTGCATGTATTATATTATATCATAAATCCTAAATTTTCAAAACTCAATTTTACACTGTTTTGTGAGTGAGTTTCTACACTATTAGCATGTTAAAAATAATACATGTATTGACAAAACATTTTTACATGATTGAAAACTCAACTGTTCCCAATATTATTAAATAATTGTCATTTTATGGTTTATGAAAACACAAGTTTATTATTTTTCGAGTATGTTTAAGTTCTAAAGTGTAGATAGCAGAAGTCTATGTTCATTCAATTCTGGCAGCTGAAATATTAAGTTAGGCCCTTACAAGTTAAATATATGTTAAGCAATGCCTGTTTTGACAACCCAGGACATCCCTGGTCAATTTTTTAATTTAAGAATTTTAATTTAGGAAGTTTTTTCATTCATTTTATAATTTTTGATTTTTTGAGGAAAAAGAGTATATATAGACCCTGTTATCCTTTTGAATGTTTGTTTATTTATTTGATGTATAATTAGGCAATTACTTTCTACTGATAAATATCCTCCTAAACTCACAACTAACCTGTAAGGGCCATAGTCGATAGTGTTTGAATCACTTTATGCACTTATAAAATAAAAATTAGTCAGTTAATCACTTCTATTATAGTAATGCTCATTATCAATTTACTAGAGTTTCAATATGGGGTCATTACATTGTTTTATATAAAGATGTATGAATATATTGCCATATATGGTAGCAATGAAAGATGTATGAATATATTGCCATATATGGTAGTCATGATGTGTATAAAAAGTTGTAAAAATGTCCAGTCTATTAAAATAACCATGTAGATGTAGCTAATATAATAATATAAAATATAATGAAATGGTGTTATTTAAATATGCATCCTTGGGTATTGAATGTGCATTTCCAAATCAACAAATTTTACAAACATTTTCTGTATAGCATTTAAAAATTATTATTGAAATCATGATCATCAGTTCTGATAATTTGCTATAAAATGTTATAAGATGGAATTTGTACAAATTAACATTAACAATAAGAGGACAATAGACTTTGATTCTTTGTAGATTCTCTCTCTCTATTACTCTAAAATAAGCAACACAAAAAGTTGACATTGCATTTTACCTTTCTATCTTGTATATATTTTCTGGCAAATCTTATGTACAATGTATATGCCATCAAATTCCATTGGGCTAAAAGAAGCTACAAGGATAATATTCTTCATTTCATGTACAGTACTTGAACGTTTATTTTGGTTATGTTAAACAAGAAAGTGAATTTTACTTTTAATATTGATTTGTAAATAAAGGGATGAACATATTTAAGAAATACTTGTTTTATTTTATATTTTCACCTTTATTCTAGTCTATTCTAGTCTTGCTTTAGTCCCTTGCATCTTCCCTTTAGCTTGAGGTCAATGGCTTGATACAAGACTCCTTTCCCTCTTTATTTAGACATGATCACTTTTGTCTCTTGACACAATTCCTAATTCAGTTTGATTTTACTTAATCTTACAAATTCAAATATTCATTTTCAATTAAACTACCTACCTTTCTACATTTCACAGTGAAAATACAAATCAGTAGTCCCATTTTACAGTGAGATACTAATCAATAGTCCCATTTTACAGTGAGATACAAATTTAAAGTCCCATTTTACATTGAGATACTAATCAATAGTCCCATTTTACAGTGAGATACAAATTTAAAGTCCCATTTTACATTGAGATACTAAGCAACAGTCCCATCTTACAGTGAGATACAAATCTCCGCTGAAATGTCCAAGTCATGTTGTATCATTGTTTATGTTGCCGTACGCACGGAAAGTAGATCTGTTTCATAGTTCTCAGTCAATGTTATAGTAATCCATTCTCTACTGCCATCTTACTAATAGCACATTAAAATCACATAGTTTTCATTTTCTGCAATAAAGATATAAATAAAAAAACTAGGATTCAATGAGAAAACCAGCCTTGTCAAACTAACTTGTCAAATAACAAGAAGCAAGACAAGGAAATATCAGTAGAAATTGCTATAAAACTAGACAAGTTTAAAATCATTTTCTTGTTTAAAAATTTAATAACCTAGCTATTTCACTTAATTTTCTTTCAAAATACATTTCATGAGCCTCTCGTAAATTTTTATTTCAACAAAAATCTCCTGTTTTTATCAGTAAATAGTTGACTGTACAGTATGTAATGAAACGACATATTTATCTCTATTGAAGCATCCAGGTTTCAAATTCTATTACCTCCACTTGGTGGTCACACATGCACAGGGGGTCGAGGCGGTCCTTTGTAGCCTCCTCTGTCGTGGCCTCCACCACTGTAACCGTTGCCACCGTGGCCGTCACCCCCGTTACCCTTACCACCATGACCTCCACCACCGTGACCTTCACCGCCATAACCATCACCACCGTGACCTCCACCGCCGTGACCTCCACTACCGTGACCTCCACCGCCATAACCATCACCGCCATAACCTCCACCCCCGCGACCTCCACCACCATGACCTCCACCGCCATAACCACCACCACCATGACCTCCACCACCATGACCTCCGCCACCACAACCATCACCACCATGACCTCCCCCGCCGCGACCTCCGCCACCACGACCTCCACCACCGTGACCCCAATTGTCGTGACCACCGCCGACGTAACCACCACTGCAACAATGACCTCCACTACCGTGGTTACCGCAACCATGACCTCCACCACCGTCACTTCCGCAACCATGACCTCCATCACCGTGACTACCGCAACCATGACCTCCACCACCGTGACTACCGTAACCGTGACCTCTATGACCACAGGACCCAGACTGATTACACCCACAATTATGATGACCACGTGATCCATCGCCGCCATGTCTACACCAGCGTGGTTGTTTCTAAAATGTAGAAGCAATTATATTGGTACAATGTCTTGGAAGCGTCTTACTTCATTAATACATTTTGTACCCTTTACTAAAGTTGTTGGAAGAAACTTAATTGAAATAGGCATTGTGTTACTCTGTCAACTGTGTATTTTTACATTATCAGAAATAGACAATACATAAGGGCGGAAATTATATTGAAATGGGTAAATATTTGAATCACTTGGCTTGCACATTACATACATACATGTACATACATGTCGTACGTTAATACTCGGAATTGACAAACTTAATTATTTATAACTGATCATAAATGGTATCACTTTAGCGGCAATCATTTGTCAGTGTGAAATAAAATAAATGTTCTTACATGTCCTACACATCCCCTATATTTGGTGCATCCCTAAAACAAACAAGTTGATTCAACAAAAATAACATTTTATGTTCATTTTCATTACATGTATGTACAGTATATGCGGTATGGCGCCGCATATTCAGCTTGTCATCGAGGGATCATCGGTCAAGTACACATAGGGTGCATGATGCAAATAGACTTTTTTTTATATCATCAGCATTTTGAGCACGGAATAACTCTTTTATTTGTTTTTGTCACCATCCGAAGTGGTGACATATTGTAATAGTCTCCAACTTTTATGTGGACGGTGTTCGGTTGTTGGTGTTCGACGGTCGACTTTCTGCGTCTGTAACAAATGGGAAGTAGTGACATTTTGCATGTTTATGTCTTTTACTACTTATGGAGACTTCAAAGTACCTAAACAAAGGGTTACACCAGAGGCATATAAAACGTTTAATATGTCTCCAGGTCTCTGGTTAAACGTGATTGGTGCATTGCTCACGTTGTCCGATGTATCACGTTCCACTTGTCTGGTGCAGCGGACCTTGTCTGATGTTTTAGGGACTTTTTATCAGTCAAAATTATTACCGTTTGAACATTTACTTTGACAAACATGTTTCATGTTTTGTCAACCCTACCGTCACGCCAAACTAGTTCTCATTACATTCTCAAAAACGGGCTTAAACTGTACATACGAACGTCTATTTATAAACTTCATGAGCGCACTCGGACAGGTAGGTCCTCCAGAACTTAATGCTTGGTCAAAAATGTACTGGCGGTCGTCACGTTCTGCAATCACATCGAAGACGAGCTGGACGTACGAGTAGAACGGAGCTGTCGTACTTCCATCCTACTAGGGACGCATTGAGGACGAGGTAGAGCCAATTGCCAACGGGGTTACACTGATTAGGACGTAATTGATCCGCTTGGACACGTTGTGAAGACGGAATGAAGATTAGTTATGAGAGTTTGCTAAATAGCTATCACACAAAAATAGTTCTCAAAGTCCGTTCTTCAAAACATTGGCGAACTGGTTTTAAACTTTGTGCGAACGGAATAAACGTAGCTGCAACTTTCTACGATCTATTAAAGAACTACATAGGCGCTCGGACGGGAATATGATTTAGAATTTTGGACCATTTCAAAATTTGATGGTGACAATATCAATTATAACTTACACGTACACACCGATATGGCGTCCTGGACGAACTGCGAATAAGATGGACGTAAGATGGCTGAGATGTGACGTCACTCAAAACAATGCAAATTGCAGATTGAATAGAGCATGGTCGTGCATCTATGGAGAATTAGAGAACGTTCTATATTGGCTATGCTGCATTCTGATTGGTTGAGAAATTCGAATAGAGCACGGTCATGTTTGAATACTTTATCATACACCTTGGTTCAAAAGATACAAATCATTATTTACTTCCACAATATTTTAACTTTAAACTTTTTAATATCAGACTGAATGTCAATCTGTTGTTTATATATTCATATTCAATTAAAAGTTTATCGCGCAAAAACATATTTTCAGATAAAGCTTAATTTAAAATCTTTGAACATCTTGACATCTCAGTTGCGGCCAGAAATTTTTTAACTGATGCTAGGCGTTTCGGATTGAGGGGTCGTCTCAACAAACTGAATTCCAGTTAACCATCAATTTCTGTATTTCATAGTAGTCCAGTCAAAGTAACATTTGACCCAAAACTAATTGCAATAGTAATAAAATGTTGTTTTTCCAATTCATATAAACATATGAAATGACATATTAAAAATCTACCAAAATCTATTAAGTGGAACATGTAAAAAAATCATTTTTGGTACCCCCTCCCCTTGAAAAACAGACCCCCTAAGGAAAAAATTATTTTTCAAATGCCTGCAATTTTTTTAAAGTAATTTTACAATTTCTTGCTTGTAATAAGGTATCCCAATCTGTGTATCTCTTTACCTTTGATATTCAGAGTGAATAAGAATATTTTTAACCCTTATTCATCTGAAATTTTGCATTAAATGCGCATGGTAATTTTATGTGAACGCCATTATATTCCTAAATAGCGACTTAATCATGTATAAAAAAATCCCAGTTTTACCTTATTATGTAATACATACATATACAAAGCAAGAGAATTTTGCATCCATTTGTTGTTGAGAAAAAAAATCATAACTTTCGAAAAAAAAATTAAAAAAATTAGGGGTAGGCATTCATTCGCTTCACTTATTTTTAAATCACTGGGAGAATTTAGATCATTAACCCCTAAGGACTTTATAATGAAAGCATATATATATTATGTATGCCTTAAATATAATATAAATATATATAAAGTCATGATTTTTTAAAACAAATTGAAAAATAGGGGTAGGCCTTCATTTGTTTCACTTATTTTTAAATTACTAGGAGAATTGAGACCAATAACCCTTATGGACTTGAAAATGAAATCTTATTAATATTATATACACTATAAATATGATATAGGTAGCTGGGTAAGTAGCTGATTAAGTAGCTTAGTGGGTTGCTGATCAAGTTTGCACCATTGACTTAACATGAGGATATCATCAAGTCGACTTTTCGAGATTTTGAAACATCAAAGAATCTAAACTCGAAGTCAGATTTCAATTCTGATTTCAAAAATTTCCCAGTATTTTGACACCTCAAACATTGCATTAATTTAGAACTTTTTGTTTTGACCTATTTTCCATACAAATCTCAAAAGTAGGTTAAAATACCCTCTGACGGCAAGAGGCTACGGCTATTAGCATATTCTCGGCTATCTGTACATCGAACCTCAAAGAATATTATGAAAGCGTAGTGTCAGAATTGCAAAAATATGACCTTTGCTTTTCAAAATTGTGAATTCAAGTAGCTTTTGAGGCCCTCTTCTGTACTTAAATGTTTTCTTTTTCTTACTTTGTTCTGAACAAGTTTTGGTCCTTACCCTTTAGCGTCTAGTGCTTACATATTCTAGTCATAGTCTTATAGTTGTAATGTGGAATATGGCATATATTCATGGTTGTGCGACATTTGTGATACGGGTGAATATGCCATACTCACCTGCAGAATATGGCATATTCCACAGGTGAGTATGGCATATTCCACAGTAATATGCAATACACTCAACTGCCGAATATGCCATATACAGCAGATGAGAACGTTATACAGAAAGCATCGATTTGATTGGCTTCATTTCGCGTTCTCATTGGTTAGTATGTATGCCATATACAGCGGGTGAATCTGGCAAACACCGCAAGTGAATATGCCATATTCGTTGCGGAATATGACATATATTTGTATCGTGTTTACCGCGTGACAATAGCAACTTTTACAATACCAATCAACATTGTGTCTAAATATATGAGTACAATGTAGAACAAGGCACAGGGTTAACAATATTGTACCTCATACATAGCAGTGTGGGCTTGTTTACCCTATTAGCAAGATGACCACCAAAATGTTTATCAGCTGCAGAACATCTTACCATGTAACATGAGTAAAGTTTTGAAGTTAATCCATGAAGTGGTTTTCAAGGAATGCCAATGACAAAATTAATCCAAAAACTTCCAAAATGGCTGCCACAATGCAAGATGGCCACTGAAAGGGGACCAGAATGCAAGATGGCTTCTGAATAGTTTATTAGCGCTAGAACTTCTTACTATGTAACATGTGAAAAATTTGAAATAAATATGTTGAGGGATTTTCTTGGGAATTGTGATGGCAAGATTTATCTAAAAACTTCCAAGATGGCCACCAGAATGCAAGATGGCCACCGAAAAGTTAATAAGCTCTAGAACTTCTTTCCATGTAACATTTGTGAAAATTTGAAGTGAATCCATTAAGTGGTTTTCCAGGAATCGTGATTTCAAGAAAAATGCAACACCTCCCACCCGCCAAGCACACAACAGTATCGTACCTTTTTAGGTACGATATACACATCATATGATGTCATAATAAATGAGCAAATGAGCTAATTTGCATGTGAGCTAATTGCATATTTATTGCTTCATTATGATACAAATATGAATTTGAGTCGACGAATAATGAGCGGAATTTGCCTGATAATGTATTACATCTATTGACAATATTCAAATGGTTGCTATGGAAACTGGCATTTGACATTATTGGTAACAAATTTGAGACTCAGATACAAGTGAATTTGAAAAGGTTGGGTCATAAGTTTTACAACGGTACCTTATTTGTGCCTTTTCCTCTCATTTGTTCACATTTCATTTTCCGACCTTCATTCTAGTAGCCTTACCATACGGTATCAAAAGGTTTATTTCTCAAAATTCAATAAACCTATCATTTCAAGATTACAAAGAAATAATGAGTGTAATGTTGGTCCATCGTTATAAATTATAGGACATTTTCTAGAAGGTCCCATTAATATCAAAACACATATTCAAATTAGTATATGCGAAATTTGAGAGATTTTTTCTATTTTTCTGGGTTTGTAAGGGTTAAAAAGAATACAAATGAACTTTTTCTTTGTTAAATTAATATTATTATCTAGGAAAAACAATATCCAATCGTGGTCAAGCTAAATTATGTAAAAATAAGACCTCAACTTTAAGAAATATGTTTTTTAGTCCTACACTCATAAATTGAAGGGGTGGGGTAGGGGGTATCTTCGATTCAAATTTTAATATTGTTCCACTACTTCGATTTTGGTAGATTTTTAGTATGTATCTCAAGGTTAATAAATGTAAATAACTAACCTAATTTGATTTCTATTGCAATTTGTTTTGGGTTAAGCTATTTTTTTCATTAGTTTGACTGGGCTATAGAGGATAAAGTCATAATTCTGTTATTTATGTTTGATTATGGTAAACCCTGTACTTCATGAAATATATTTAACCGTGGTAAATTCTGTTTTCAATGAAGTAAACATTTATTTATACTGTATTGTTTCATTGGAAGAAATAAATAATTGTGCTATTAAATATAAAGTTTCACATTTCTTATTGAACTTGATAATTTCAGTATTTTCATGGAGATAGTAAGAAACGCATTCATTTGTTTTACTTTAAATCTTTCCAAATCCAAGTGTGAT